GCATGGTGAAACTGTCCTTCTTGCGGGGCTGCTTAACTGCTTCTCTTCTCTTTTCTTTGCTCTCTCGTCCTCACTAAATGACTCTGCTTCGTCGGGGAGGATGGATACATGGCTTGCCCGGCTTATGCGCTGGAATACGAACATATTAGTTGAAAACAAGATGATGAGCAATAGACTGAATAGCGAGACCTGTATCGACCGGCTACTCCATAGCAGAGGCGGGTGATGTCTTTGCTTTAGGGGGATTGAATATCGCTTCCGTCTATCTTGTTTCTTGGAAGGTTCACGACTACCACGCGGATGACATTTCTATGCATCATATTGGGGTTTTTGTGGCGTGGTGATTTGATCATCCGGGTCAGGAACATGGCCAACGACCTCGGACGGTAGACCCAGCACCGTATTGAGAGATACCGCTCTGATCAGCCAAGGCTGTCGCCTCATGTGCACCTGACCTTGCTGATCTTGGTGTAGACGGAATAAGCTCAAGGATTAGATGGTGTGGTAAAATCTACTGATACGGTGAAGTTGCTCGTAACGAGATTAGGACTTTTGCCCATGGTGAAGGATTGGAAGTCTTTCTTTTGAACTCTGATCTTGGAAAACATTTTCTGGCCTATATCACTCATCACCAATGCCACGACTTGACGTGGCAGTGTTCACGGACACTTCCACCATTGTATGTGTTACCATATGCCCTGTACCACGCAGGAACAGTATTCCAAGAAATCAGTCCGACAATCACACCCTCCCAGCGGCCACCTTAAGCAAGGCCTTCTATTGTTGCAAGATTTCAGCAAGGACGGCGAGCTTTGTAGGCAAGATAGCATCAACAATGACCTGAAGCGACACGGCTGCATGCCGGCCGAAAGCTCGCTTTATGCAGTCTCATACTGCCGTGGTGTTTTGATCCCCTGCACAACCCACCCCCCCACGCCCGATCCGGTCCCCGATGGTACGAACACCAACCAACTCAAACCTGCTAGAAAAGTTGAGTTTCTTGTTGCTCATTTTGGCTCGTATCAAGCTCGTAAGCTCTGGTTGAAGATAACCACGAAACCGCGGCGAAAAGGTTCATGTACGGTTGCGGGTCAAATCTCGCTACGCCCTGTCGGCGTTGTGCCGGGGTTGAGTTTTTCGACCCACTCTCCATACTGATACGAGCCGTACCGTCCTGATCCAGAGGTAGACGGCCTAACAGTTACAGTACCATGCTGAAGATTGCTAGCGATTGTGTCTCTCTCCTCGGACCCCGGGAATTTGGGGGGGGGGGGGGGGAAGTCCTCTAGGTTTGGTGCAAAGCTCTTGATTTCGAAGTATCAAGAAGACAGCGTATACATTAATCTTCCCTATTGTGGAGTCAGACTCGAGCAAAGAAAGCACGAGATGCTGCGACCGGGGAGTGAGCGAATGGATAATGTTTTTAGACTCTGGTAATAGCTGTTATGATCGGGCTTGGCTGAGGCGCTCCCAGAGGGAATTAGCCGCACAGATAGCCAGTTCGTATTGAGCAAGGCGATTGGCAGAGAACAGCGAAAAAGAAAAAAAATCGAAAGGAAAACATCGCGTCTCACGCAAAAGCAATGGATAACCAAGTTGTTGGTTGGGAGCATTGAAGACGTAATTCCGTTATTTTCGCCGATAAATGACACGAGTATAATATCTATCTACAAGGTAGGTAACTTGATTCACGGATCCGGGCGCCAATAAGATTATGTACCAGGGTTGAAACGTTGACTTTCTTTGTTCCATATCCAAAGAAGCGCATCTTGTCACTCAAACGCCACAATCTCCAGATCCAAGTCTCGCGACCATCACCCGTTCTTCGTGATCGGGGGATACCTTGGTTTGTTTTCCCATTATCGCATAATCCCCAGTTTAGCGTGGCGAATTATATCTTAAATAGAAGAACGCTTTCCTACTGAAGGTCAATGGGGCCAAGCAGCCAACCTGGACTCAATAGCTCATCTACCAGTTTCCACTTCCACAAACCCTCGCAGTATCGCAGCAGAATGTCCCAAGTACGTCACGAGGTAACCTACAAGCAAAACTTCTATTACAAGAGTCAGCTATGCTTCCATCCGACAGGAACGTATATCACTAATCGACATCTACCCCTAGGTGTGAATCTCAGTCCGCAGGAGCACGCCCAACGGAAGATCGATGGCCTGCGTGCTGCCTTCGTGGAGCTAGCCAGGCTTGACCCGAATGTGGGTTCGGTTCAGTATGGGAAGCGCGAGGAAGTCGGCGTGGGCAGTGACTGGGCGGTGGTGTTCACCGAAAAGGATTACGACCTGGCGGTGGTATTCGATGTTGCGAGAACGAATCGATGGACCCATGTGCACACCAGGAAGGCTGGCTACGCTCTGAGTGTGACCGTCGTCGAGCACTGCACACCCACGACCCGACACCCGGCCGATACGCCACGGCATCTCATGCCATCGCTTATATGATCCGAGATGTCTCGATGCTCTCATCAGTCGGGCTGTGTCGTCGACCTCTCACAACTCTGTCCATTAATGACCGCCTGACCGCCGGAAGCTCACTTCGGAGAAGCCGGATGGCTTGATGGCTACAGTTCTCGAAAAAAGGGTTGGATTTCGGCCTCGCCTCGATTCGTGCGTTCATTCCATTGGTAAGCGTGACTGGGTGGAAGGGGAGGAAGAGGCTGAGTTAGCTTAGCTTTCCCATTAAATTGATAGGGCTCCATTGCCAGATGCAGCCCACATACTCGGCAAGAGAGCCTTACTTACTCAACCGGAACAGAAATCCGAAGCTCAATGTAACGAACCCGAGAACCACAATTTTCATCGCAAAATGTGGGAGCTTCATATTCTTGCGCACCCTTCGGCATCTTATTTTGCCTTTCTGAGAATGTACTGTCTGGCAAATCGTAACCACAAGCTGAACACAAGTACGTAAGGCTATCTGGGCTCTGCACAGAGAGTGATTAGGCAGAGGAAAGACGAAAAGACACCACAGTAGCGTCAGCGAAACCGACTTGTCTCGCGCCAGAAGGACACCAAAGAATCGCTATTTTCCCATAGAGACAGAATTAGCTGCTTGTCCATCCACGTGACCCTGGGCGAGTTGCTGTTCAGGCCATACAGAAAAATTGTATGACATTTTACTCGTTGATTCATCATGGTCACCCTGGCCAGCCGATTGAAACCACAGACAAGAAACGAAAAGCTCGTAATGCTCCCATGAATGTCAACACATTTCGCCTTCGGTCTCTGATGCGACAGAGCGATCTTCCAGCCCATGATTCAGGTCCTTCCCATGCGGCGCGGCGTCTAGACCCGCATCGTTCGGAAGCACGGATGCCTTCGCGGTGGCCGATAGTTTCTTGAGGATCAATTTGTGGTCGATTATTTCGGCCGTCGCCAAAGATTGTTTGTAGATGATCTCTCCGCAGGGAGGCGGCGTGGTCCCCGGGGACTGGCTCGGTGTCGTTGTATATGAAGAATGTTCAATAACGCTCCGTGAGGCCTGGGCGCTGGCAGGCACATAGACATATCTCGAGGGACTGTACATTCCTGCGAGTGGAGAGGAAGCGGATCGAGAGGCACTGGGCACAGTTCGCGACTCGCCAAACCAAGCAACACATTTGAAGTAGGGGGAAGATAGCCGGCAATCGTCTTACTTATATGCTATGCCCTGACTGACGGGTCGGAACCATAGCTGATCAAGGTATGTTTAAGCGGGTCTGAGCATTTAGGGAACCCCGCATTCCATAGCCGCAGTTGAAACTTTGGGCTGCACCGGCCGTTCATGCATGTGATGGTCTCTTGAGAGCCAGGCCCCATTTCTATGTCACCCATATGGTCGTTTCATGCTTCCCGAAACGCCACTCTCGGCCGGGTCTGCACGCACGAGGATTGGTGAAGTCTCTTATTCTCTGTAATGGCTCGAAGCGGGGAGCTCGCAGGCCAAGGTATTAGTTCAAGGTTAGGCTTACAAGGTGGGCTGAACAACCATATCAATTTAAGTGGGACAACGATGGTGACCTTTCGCGACATTGACCATCAGTCTCCTCGGATGATAACATCAATTGTGCTCCACTGTTCTAATTTTGGTTAATCACCGATACCTCAGTGATACGAACAAGAACAATGGAACCTATGCCATTGGTGGCGCCCATGTGGTAAGCTTTGGCTCTTGATGGATATTTTTCTTGTTGCATTTCTCGATTTGGCCGTCGCCGTCCTAGTGTCTGGAGCAAGTAGAGATATCGGAACGGTTGCAACGGACACTGACCTCTCCGTCATATCGACTAGTTTTCGAACGCAATCATGCTTGGGAACCTATAGCACCGCTTACGCCTGGGATGTACACGGACAGACACATCGTCCTTCACTGCGAACACACGCCGCAGTCTCCGAAGCTCGAAGCTGTCTGAATAAGCCGGGCGGAATTGGCCAGATTATTTTCATTCAAGCGCCCAGGCGCTATAAACAGGGTCAAGCTCACACAGCAGCTATTTTGCATCTTCTAGGTTTAGGGTACGCTCCGGTGTTCAACATTGAGGGTACCGTGCCAGGAACGTATTCAGATCATGAATGGCCGCGTTTGTGCGGGTTCTGATGAGTGCGCAGTGCGCCACTATCGAGTCCCTCATCTGCATTTTCCACCGGATGCCATTGTGCGATGCATGCATATGTATGCCAGCTAGCGTATTTTTGGCACAAACATAAACTCATTCTTGAAGGCGATGCCCGCACCACGGAGGAGGTTTGCATTTCGAACGGCTGCTGTTTCGGGCGTTCTGAAGGCTACGGAAGACCACTGCGGGGGCGGTCGGTGAACAACTGGCATAAGTCACGTAAGCCTGCATAAACCGAGGAATCGGCATGCATTACATGCATTTCCACTACCCCGTGTATTTCAGCACAGGCCGGCCGACGCCGATATCGGCCCTCGAACTACAGCAACAGAAGCACTATATAAACCCAGCCTCCATACGCCCATCACACCCAACAACAACCACGACCAATTTGTTTTCTTTCCCGCCTCATTCATTTAGAACAATACTCATTATATATCAACTACACAAAGCAACCCCCCACAAAGATGACTGAAAAAGCAACCTACACGCACGGCCACCACGCCAGCGTCCTGCGCAGCCACGGCCAACGCACCGCCCATAACTCCGCGCAATTCCTGCTCCCCCACCTGCAACCGCATCACAGGATTCTAGACATCGGCTGCGGACCAGGCACCATCACCGTCGACCTAGCCGCGCACGTACCCCAGGGCCACGTGACGGGCCTCGACATGGTGGGCACCATTCTCCCCGACGCGCGCGCCCTGGCCAGCTCCCGCAACGTCACCAACATCGATTTCGTCACGGGGGACGCCAACGCTCTCACCTACGACGACAACACCTTTGACGTCGTCTTCTGCCACCAGGTCCTCCAGCACGTCGCCGACCCGGTCGCCGTGCTGGCCGAAATGCGCCGCGTGTGTAAACCGGGAGGCATTGTCGCCGCCCGCGAGGCCGATTACTCCGCCTTCATGTGGTACCCGGAGCTGCCGGGGCTGCGGCGGTGGCAGAACCTGTATGACCAAGTTGCGAGAAAGAATGGGGGCGAGCCAAACGCGGGGCGGTTTTTGCATGCATGGGCCAAGAGGGCGGGTTTTGGGACTGGAGCAGTGGAGTGTAAGGTCAGTGCGTGGTGCTTTGCGACGCCCGAGGAGGTGAGCTGGTGGAGTGGCACGTGGCAGGAGCGGGCGGTGAAGTCGGCGTTTGCGAAGGGGGCGCTGGAGAATGGGTTTGCGTCGGCGGAGGAGCTGACGGACATTTCTGGGGTGTGGCGGGAGTGGGGTGAGGACGGGGATGCGTGGATTGCCATTCCCAGTGCGGAGGTGGTTTGTCGAAAGTAACTGAGTCCCCATTGATAGATCTGATCTTGAGTTGGTAATGCATGGCTGTGAATTCTGGAGGGGGCGGTGGATGTACATAGATAACGTGATATACTTGTTGGCGAGTGCAAAGACCTTGTTGCCCTGAAGCCCGAGAGAGCAGTCACTTTCGTCAAGGGTTGCGCACATCGCCCAAGCTCAAAGAATGTGATACTAGAACCATTGAGAGGATTATGCCCTTCGATACTAAATGATCATAGCATCTTGCCCGACTCACCCTGATACTAATATGCCCTGGGGCAGAAGGTTAGGAGCAGCAGGGTGCTTCAACTGGTGCTTGGAGAAGTGATAGACATATTGCTGGCAGACTTGGAGTTACCTACCATTGAAATGAGCATTCATCGTAGATAAAGCTAGGAAAGGAATTCAATATCGATGAGAACCCATGCGAGGGTTGTTGTCTGTAATCAAGACTAGGCTCTAGAGTGAACTGATGATACATGGACTTACATTTGAAACATATTGTGAAATAGAGCATAATTGGGTCGGCAGGGACCTTGGGCGGGGCTTCGATGATTATCCACCAAGAAGATCTGATAGTGCAAGGAACTCTACCGTGCGACTGACTGCTTAAGGACTTCGCCAAGTAAGTCACCCCCTTCCGTATATTCTCAAATAACTACAATGTAGATCGGCTTGTTGCTCTTCAGTTTCACTGTGGCAAGACGAATCTGCATAGCCCGCCAAGGTTGCATCCCATAGTACTCTCCCTTTTTTCAACTTTCGATCCTAAGGTCATACCCCTGGCTCACTTACTATGGGAGATGATTGAGCTTGATAGGGACCGTCTAACATACCGTAATGCAAAGTGCATAACCCGAAGGGCACTCGTGTCTTCACCAGTCGACAGTGACCAACATATACCAATCAATTATACATGTTACTTTGCTTCTTTGACACGTTACTCGATCATAAATTCATTTTGTCGTCTCGAATTAATTCGAATCTCTACAATGGCTCTGGCAATCTGCCCACCTGCGTGACAAGTTTCAGCACACATCACAAGAATCGCGCTTCTTAACCTGCTGAAAAAACATATCCTTGCTTCCCTGCGGACCCACCCACTTGAGCATGTTAGGGGTGATGTGCGGTATATCTGCGCGGAAAGTCTCCGCCAGCCACCGATTCCAATCCCACGTGACCCAGTCAAACCATATATCCCGCGCGTCGTCCACCCCCCAGCGCAGGATGGGACTGATATAGGTGCCCGCGAGAAGATCGAGATCGGCGCAGCGGGGCGAATGCACGTCCATCCACGAGTGGCCGATCCGCGCGCGGATCCGGCTTGGTGAGGATGACGTTCCGCGGATACAGATCCCGGTGCCGGAGATCACACGCGTAGAACTGGAATTCAATCTCCACGATCTGCCGCATGATCGCCTGGCGGTCGGCTAGCGAGAACGACTCCGGCCGTAGCTGCCTCATATCCGTACCCTCGACCAGCTCCGTCAGGATGAGGCGCACCTCGCACAACTGCTTACTGGATGGGTCGGGGGTGTGCGTCGACCACGACCCGTAGTACTGCGGGATGGACTGGTGGAGTTGGTGGTGCAGCAGGTGGCGGTACGCCCCGCACTCGCGCACGTACTGCTCGTCCATGAACCGCACCGCCTGCACCCGTGTCCTCCTCGAGGCCGGGCCCAGGTACCGCGGGTCGTACAGCTTGGCCACAATCTTGGGCCCCAGCTCGTCTGGGTCCCGGTGCAGCGACCCCGTCCGTTTGGGCGGGCTCCCGCTCAGTATCTCCTGCACCACGGCCACCTGTGCGGAGTACCCGGATCCCACGCGCAGGCCCTTGCACACCCGCAGGCGCAGCTCCTTTTCGCCGAAGCGGCCGGGCAGCGGGTTCTTGGACTAGTTAAACTTGAAATCCGCCGAGATCTGGCTGGGTGGGTGGTGCTCGCGGATCACGAACTCGAAGCCCAGTTGGTAGGGGGTTTGGGGGGCCATCGTGGCAGGGTGGCAGTCTTGCAAAAAGATCCTTCTCATGGGATTGGATCTCAGGGCTTGGCTCTGTGGGGAACGGGTCATTTTATATCCTGCCTGGCGTGGCATCGACGTCGGAGTCTTTGGTCGTGGACAATGACATTGCAGCAATATGAGGTCCAGCAGGGTCAAAGGCATGTGCGTTAGTCGGCTCTTTGGTAACCGAGACACAACAGGTCGATACATTGTTGTCGAGGGGAGATCGCCCGACATTTCGGAAGTGCCCAAAGAACAGACATCTTTTGTCCTATATCGATCACATGACCGGCACCGTGCCCTAGACGAAAGAAAGCACGGTTGCCACAGTGAATGTATTCTGTTGCATATGATCTTGCTCAAGCATGTCTGACACGCTGCTAATCGGTCGCCTCGAATTCTATTGCTACTTTTCTCTAAGATGTACGAAGTAAAACGATACACCAGTCCACCTTTCTCTCCACCAAGCAATTCTAACTCACCCTTCCCCACCTCCCTCTCGGAAATTCCAGCCTCACAATCCATAATCAACATCTCCCCTGCTAAACCGCTCAATAGCCGAAGTATCAACTCCGATCGTGATGTACCCGATCACCCCATTCCTCACGTCCTTGCCATCCGCCGGCACCACCGAGACCACCGGGTTATACCCGCCCTCAGTATCGCCCGAGAAGATAGAGTCCTCCGCATTGGTAGTGCGGTTAATCTGCGTGTGCGAGACGTACGGCTCAAGCGCCATAAGCTCGCGCTCCAGCTCCTCAGCAAAGTAGATCTGGCCCGTGCTCACCGTGTGGCTGGAGGTGATGGTCCCGTTCTCGCGGAGCGTCCAGTCCGTGTGCACCTGGACGTGGATATGGATTGCGCGTTGAATGTAGAAGCCTACCCAAGATCCAAAACATCAGCTCTAATCCGCTACATTATAGGGCTGGGGTCAGCGAGAGGAGGAGTATGCGGTTCACTCACCCGGAAAGATAGTCTTCATCTCCATGACCCCGGCCTCATCGGTCGGCCACATCCCGCGCAACCACGTGGTGTCATCAGTATGCAGATCCGTCGTGCCCAAATCATAGGTAGTATCGTTAAGGTTGAGCTCATGCAACAAGTCCTCAAAGGGAGTGTTGGGCGACAGCCCCGTGAAACTCGAGTACGAGCCCGTCGCGTTGCAGTGCCAGAAGTCCACGAGCACGTTGGGCAGCGGCTCGCACGTGGCCATGTCTAGCACGCCGACGTCCAGCCACAGCGGCACCCCGACCTGGTCTTCTGTCATGTCCTGGCGGAGGGTCTGCGAACGCGGCCAGACGTAGGGACCCCGGGTCACCTCCGGGGTCAGCACGCAGGTCTCGTTCTGGATGGTTTCGTAGAAGGGGGCTTCGGTGTGTATCTCGTAGGTTGCGTTGTGATGGTGCTCGTCAGCCCAGCGTTTGGTGAGGGCGTTGCGCGCGGCCATGCGTCGCTTGTTGAAGGTGGCGGCGTGGCCGGGGCACCGCTTGAGGAGCTCATTGCGGCGGTGGAGGGCCGCGGGAGCGAGTGGCTCATGCGGGCCGGGGTGCGCCGTGGCTGTTAGGGCAGCGGTCGAGAAGAGGATGAAGAGGGAGCTGAGATGCATTTTGACGGATGCCTTGCGCAGTGTTCTGGGGGTCAGGTTTCTGGGAGTATGAGTTGTAGTGATGGGAAGGCTCTGATAACCGGCAAACATGCTGGATTTATACCTGCTTCCCCGGGGAAATCATCGGCGGAAAGTGTCCTTCACTCCTCGAGGACGACTCGATTGGGAAGGCACGCTGCGCAGATTGTGGGTGAAGCGATCGGCAAGGTCTTCATCGGCATCCATGCCAACCTGACCGGCCCTCAATACCACCGCATAAACCAAGGCATATTGTGGGTCTGAGAGGAATCTTGCTGCCTTGACGGAGTTGTATTGCTCCCTGATGGAGACTAGCAACGCCAGTCGTGGGAGATGCTTATCTATCTCTGCGAGCTTCTGAAAATGGCTTGTGCATGTCTTGGCCCGACTTATCATGGCTCCTAGGAGGTGCACCTCATTATCTATATACAATCTTGGCACTCCGATATCGAGCGAAAGCAACATGAACAGCTCTCGGCATTATCTTACCTTCCGGCGTGTATATACTCGGGAATCAGCTATAGTGATATTTCCCTGACTTGTATTAGCGTTTTCTCTGCGCTGTCCTAGAAGACTGAAATCTTAAGAACATCTCGAAAGCCTTTAGTAGTACGGTTGAGGTCTGATCTACGCGAAGCACACTACCCTAGCGGATACACAGAAATGATCTCGTGGGCACCGAGTGCCCTCCCACTCAAACATCGGCATCCACAATGGCGCAAGAGGTCCACCTTTCGACTAGAACCTCTTCAAGGCCCCAAGTTACTCTCACAAGCACATGATTTCTGTGTCTCGTTTCTCCACAGTCGGAACAAGGTTGGCTGCGCCAAGCCTCAACTTCCGCTGAGTCATCGGGACTTGCCACTCCCGGCTTCCATGCCAGGGGACCTACAGCATAGCATCGCCCAAGTATTTCGAGGCTATTTCGCACCGGTTCTGCAGACTGCAGGATCTTGCTGCCAGACGGGACTTCGCGATCTAGCCCGGATGCAGAAACCCGAGACCGGAATTCCGGCGGACACTCGAACACTGGACACTTTCAGGTGGGATGTGTGCATTCGACACGATTCTTACCACAGAGACGTCACATACCAAGTGCAGTGAGGTACTGCTCGCAGATAGCAGCGGGAAATAGCGGTATAGCTACTATTCTAAGCAAGAAGGACAGATCATGTCACGGTGCCCGGTACAGTTGGTTCTCAGACTTGGACGGTGATACATAGACTCCGGTGCCTCCACTTTAGTGTAGACCTTCCCATGATAAGAGTGTCCATCCTCTGCTGCAAGGCCTGATAGTAAAAACCATCTCCATTAATGCAAATCTGAGTGTGGCTATTGCATAGACACGAGCGTCTTCGAACTATGCCATCTGTGACACGTATGCCTGAGATCCACAGCCTCTTTTACCCCTACTCCGCACCCGAACACTCAATCAGCTCCAGCTTCAGCACCAAATTTAACAAATATCTAGACCGTCCACGATCTGATACATCAACCACACCCCCAGTCTATTCCACTTACTCCCCCCGATCTCCACAAAACCTGTATCCCTCACCGTGGATTATCGAATTAACAAAATCAAAGTCATTTCCTCTTCACAAAGGACTACTAGTCATCTCATACCCTAGCGAGCGATTTTGCCCTTGCTCTTGATTGGCACCATCGCCCACATTACTACCCTCAGGGACAGGAGCATACGGTCTGGATGTATCCTGGCGCAATGAGAGGGGGCTCCCGGCTTGGTCGGCGCCCTGGTCCAGTTCTTGGTGGCCGGAATTCAAGACCCATTTGGGGGAGTCAAAATACTTCCGTTGCTGGTGTCTGCTGTCAGCGAGTGCTTGTAGTCGCTGTAGAAACGGAGCGGGGGCTTACGATTTTAGACTTGCGTGCCTTATTCATGCTGTGACGATAGAGCGGTTCGGTGGCGTATTTGGCTAAGATCGTGCGTTCTTGCTCGGAGAGAGGCTAGACGGGAGAAGGAGTGTGTGAGTCTGGATCCAGTTCGCAGCACAACAGAGGGTTGCGGATGGGGAGAACGGACTTCGTCGCGGGTAAATATATTGTTTTGGTCGTTCATGACGGTGTCTTCGGTTGAGCCCTGTAGTATGGATTGACTGTGTCCTGTGATGAGCTTTTCCAAGGCGGAGATTGGCGAGGCTACACAATTTGTTCTATTGGTTCTTACAGAGTATGGATGTACGATTTTCAATGGCTGATCATAAAGCAGCTGTGGTTATAAGGTTACCTCAAGGAGAAGAAGAATACTGGCACTCATGGAGGTAATCGAGGTTCAAGCTGATTATTATATCCAGCAAGATTTGTCGAGTGGGGCAAGACACCTCCTTCTGGAACAGGGAACCCCAATCATGACGTTCGATACTGTTGCTCGAATCTATCACCCAGCGTAGATCGCGCAGCACGCCACAAACTTAATCGGCCACGCCTATAAAGTAAGTCTCGTCCCTGTAAGATATCTATCTGCCGAAGCGAATTCATGAGTGGCTGTCTTAATCTCGTCCAAGAACGTTACATCAGTTCTCGGTGGAAGAAGCTCAATTGGATGCGGCGCGGTCTGTATTCTGTCTTGCGGGGCCTAAAAAAGTTGAAGAGCAAAAGTGAATCATAATGACCTCACATTCGCAGAATTGTTGCCACCATTCTTGGCTTGATTGTTAGGAATCAACTCACTGTCCTGTATTGGTCCCCTTTTGAGGCATATGCTATTAGCCATAGGCTTTTTTCATGCTGGGCTTTTGTGAGCCAGACATTCTCACACGTGGGGACCTCACCCCCTTCTAATCCTCTGTTAGCAATGTCCGCGCAGTCCTTTCTCGCTCAAATGGGCGGAGCTGAGATCTACTGAGATAGAGTTGGTCGTTGTGGGGCTGCCTCTTGGCGCAGATCCGGCATACTCCGTCCACCCTCCCGGTACCGACCGGGCAACGACCCAGTGTTCTCGTATTTCAAAGTCGGGATCCTTTCGCGCAGACTCCCGAGGGTTTCGCAGTAGGGCTCGTAAGAGGTGAGACTGCCTCTCGCGCGGGTCATGTGGTCACGTCTAGGTGCGGAAGAGGTCGATCCAGGCGGAGGGGGGTTGTGCGTTGGTGTGTCGGGATCGGCGCGGGGTAGTTGAGCGGAGACTCTTTGAAATTTGAGTTGATGTCTAGGATGATTCTTTTTGTGTAAGTCACGCACCGATTCAAATGATCAGTATGGCACATTGGTCTCATGGGTGTGCGTTTCGAGGATCTACTTCCTCTGTGTGCGCTTTCACTTCCCCCTTTACAATTGAGGTGCCATCTTACGACGGCAGGGTAGTGGTGGGTGATACCTCGTTGGCCCTGGTGTGATAGATGTATTGGCTCTTGCAACCAACAAGTCACGTTCAATAGTAATCCCTGATATCCTGTACTTTTGGCTGAACCTCGGTCTCCACATAAGTTTAGGTTCCAGACCGTGTCAAATCTTGGATTGCCGTCAATGTTGGAAGGTATTGCGACGTGACGGGTTTCCGTCCTAATGCATGAGATTGTGATGACTGAGTTGGTGCAAGCGCTATTTGCTTTGTTCGAATGTCAAAGTCAACCGGTAGCTCATAGCGAAGTATATTTTGTGGCTTGGATATAAGCACTAACGTTCGTGTGACGCGTTAGGACTATTCTGCCCGGTCGGGTAGTCAAAGGGGAGATCTGTTCCAAGATGCCGGCATATAAGGAGCAGAACTTGTCCAATTGTACTCGCAACAAATGAGCTCTCGTGAACAAAGCTGTATTACAGAAGCTTTCAGGATACGCCGCTGCGCAAACATGAAGGCTCTTACTAGACTTTCTTACCAGCCAGCCCAGTGGGGGTTGATCAACGCTGAGCCTAAACTCTGCGCTAGGAACCTCGAACAGTTTACCTACATTTTGACTAGCGCTTACAGCTGCTTATGCCGTTGACCAGACTATAGCCTCCAGGAGACCAACAGAACATGGCGTATCTGGTCACTCTTTGCATCTTTGCAGGCCCTGTTGGGCTCTCATTCGCCAACGCGACCGGCCGATCCTTGGAGAAGTCAGCCCTAATTCATTAGCTGCACGGGATAACGCATCAAGTGCTTGACTTCTCCTGTTACATCCCCACCATGTCACGCTCTCCTCCATCTGGTAGACGAATTCACTAATAAAATCGGTTCTAGCAGATTGTCGATTCAACTCCCATTCTCCACCTCGACAGGCACGCGCGTGCCTATTAGCGATCCAGTGACCGGCGCCGCCGGTCGCCATTATTTAAAGACCATCATGGTTCGATCGGATATAACTGCCTCCATAATCATTTTCACCACTCGGTTCACTGGCTATTTTCTTCCTCCTCTTCCTCTTCATCATATAATTTTGACTATCACGCAAAGTATCTTCCCCCTCCCTGGCGTGCAGCATGGAAAGCGCATCATCGCTTCCGTGATTGAGGCGCGAGCGGAAAAGAACGATGATGCCCCCTGGGTCTCCCTGCCCATCGACGAGGAGAATATATCCCAGGGCTTCATAGACATTTCCATTCGCACCTTCAACAACGCAGCCAACCACGCCGCGCACTGGCTTCGAAAGAGCCTCCCCGAGACGTCGGAGCCATTCCAGAAGTTCGCCTACGCTGGGCCGAAAGACCTCCGCTACCCAATCCTGGCAGTCGCCGCCGCGAAGCTGCAAAAAGTGGTGCGTGTCAAGTCTTGCATCAAGCAGTAATGAGTCGCACCGCTAATCACATACTAGCTCATCCTACCCTCCCCGCTGGTGACGGCAGAGGCACAACGCCGCATTTTGGAGTTGCAAAAGTGCACCGTGTACCTGCGGCCCTTGGCCATGAAAGCTCAGGTAGATGCTATTCTGCACGATGCACCGCGTATTCAGACAATCGACATCCCAAATGTTGAGGCGTTCCTCAAAGAGACCGAAGCAGAGCCCGTCACGTACAGCAAAACATGGGACGAGGGCAAAAACGATCCGTGGCTGGTGTTCCACACCTCGGGGACGACCGGAAATCCCAAGCCGGTGACCTGGACGCACCGGATGATGGCCTCAATCGACATGATGGCAGCCGCCCCGAACATCAAGGACAGCATAGTCCACCGCGCCGCCAACCACCGACTCTTTACCCCTATCCCGTCACTCCACGTATGGCCCCCTATCCACCCCTACAATAGTGCCACCAAATAAAACATACCAACAACCCCGAAGCTGACAGGAATGATGCTCATCCTCGCCACAACAAGCTACGTAAACATGACCGCCGTCCTCGGCCCCTCCACAGCCCTCACCCCGGCCACAGTCATCTCCGTCTTCCAAAACACACACATAGACGGCACCCTCCTCCCACCGGCTCTGATCGACGCCCTCTGCCTGTCAGAAGCCGGGCTGGCCGCCCTCCGCAGTCTCAGCTTCCTGGTGTACACCGGCGCCCCGCTGGCCGCCAAATCCGCCGCGATGCTGACACCCTACATCCCCGTAGTGATCAACGGAGTGGGCACCACCGAAGCTGGGGGATACTTCGCGACGCACCACGAGCACCGCGACGCCGACGCCTACCTGTGGCTATCGTTCGCGCAGCAGAAGGGCGCCACCTTCGAGCCCCGCACCGCCGACGGGCTGCACGAGCTGGTATTCGTCCGCGATGATCCCGCAACAATCTCTAAGGATGGAGATATAGACACAGACGACGAACCCGTCATCTTCCAGACCTACCCACACCTTACGAGGTTCGAGACCCACGACCTCTGGCGCCCCCACCCCGTCCACAGGGACTTGTGGCAGATCGTCGGCCGCACGGATGACTACGTGCCCCTCTCGCACAGTGATGGACTGCATGCCTCGTTGCTGGAGCCCGAGATCACGGCCCATCCTGCTGTCAAGACGGCGTTGATTGGGGGGCATGGCCGGGCGAAGCCGGTGCTCTTGGTGCAGCTGGTGGAGGGGACAGCGGCATCGGGGTTTGAGGTGGAGAGTCTGCGGCCCTATGTGGAGAAGGTGAACGCGCGAGTTCATGAGTGTGTACGGTTGGAAATGGGGCGGGTGATTGTGGCCAGCGAGGAGAAGCCTTTCTTGTATACGGCGAAGCAGAGCGTCGCGCGGATGCAGAGTTTGAAGCTGTATGAGGCAGAAATAGAGGCACTGGAAGGGTAGCCATGTGCCCTTCCACGGCCAGGCGATTGAGATTCTAGGACAAGATGTTCGAAGACTGCGGTGCACCGCTACCATCGACACGTATTCCGATGCAATCCAGCCGATAGACTGCGTCAAAAGTCACGATGAGCAGACATTCGATAAGCAGCAGCATGGTTTCATTGCACTGGCTCCGGAGCCTAAATCCTCCAACTCGGACAAGTAATCGCGGTTAGAATGTGTGATTTATGGATTTCTTGAGGTGGCGGGCGTTCTCGGTTATTACTCCAGGCGACCTAAAGACCCTGACCCTGATTTTGCAAGTGACAGGGCCCGAATGTGATGGGCGTCACGCAGCAGCGGTAGGCTGGCTTGGCTCCCAGACTATCAAAATACATGGGCTATTCTGAATTGTACAAAGCAGTGCACAGCTGCACCCAGCACATCACAGACAAGACGGAGGGACGGGACTGAAAGGGACCGGTCAATTGCACTGTGACACTAGACAGGACCGGCCAGACAATACAGAGTGTAATTGCTTAACACGAACTGCAGCAAATACGTGACTAGCTCTTGCTCTCTTGACTTATTTACATCACATATTAATGCCCAAATTCCCTGACCATCTCATTGTATGATCCCCTTTCTTTATCTCATGTAAGAGTAGATGGTCAAAGTTTCTATCACGATTCTCCCGGCCGGCACGAGTGGTTTGCCCTAGGACTTACCCGATCGCCACGCCACCTGTCAAGCTATCGTGGCGCTTTCTTTCCGCATCCCATGTCGGAGGATTAATCTGGCCCGGGAACACCTCCCCTGCCACGGGCCCGCCTTCACCATATTTGATCGTCGTCAGAACGCAGGCATGGGTGGCATTCACGCCGTGGTGTTTTCCGCAGTCGCTAATGCCCTCGTCATGTCCCCCCACCCGCTTTAGATGCTCAAGGTGTGCGAGACACCCATCACTGCGGCATGCCCGCGCAGGATCTAGCGTTGCTGGCCCTCGTGAGAGCCTTGGTTCTAATGTATTCAGGTAGGAAGAGCTCATCTGTATTGATAGCATGTGATCGGTCGCTAGGCTGTAAACTACAGCGTAGTCAGTTGCTACCCCGTGGCAGGGCCCATAACATTCTAGGGGACCAGAACGACGGGCTGAGCCTCCAGGCTGAAAGCTCTTCCGAACCGATTTCACTGGATATATGTCCACCAACCGGGTTTCTTCGCTAGGCTACGGCTTGGGGTCCTAAGATGCCCTTCTGCTTGTCGAGCTTGCAAACAACACATAGCAGTGATTAGGTCACCTTCCTACGAAGATGTTGTCTGCATGCCACAGACAGCTTGCACTGCATCACCACGAGTAAGGCTGTGATGCTTGCTTAGGTCCCAAATGTGCACTGCCTTGAAGTCACTGGGTGAGCACGCCGGCTAGTTATGCAAACTGACTGCGCCAGCACTCGGCCGTTGTCTCTTCTGTGGCGCATGGTGGCGCATGGTGGCGTATGTAGTGACTGACACGACTGCGCGGCACGAACAGGGTGGTCAAACAGGTTGAATGAACGCGCAAATACATCCATCGAAGAAAAGGACTAAACCCATGGATTTGGATGCGCGCAAACACGTCAAAACAAGGAAAGAACATTTCACGAAGAAAAGAAAGCACCAAATACATCTCCGAACACAACGAAAAGCCAAGACATTATTTCACACGATACTACCCCATGTATATCAAGCAGCAGCGCCTAGTCTCCGTCTCCCAAGCCTTTCACTCCATCCATCGCAGTATTGCTCGAACATACGCATCACGATGCATGCTGGGCTGTGAGCCCCGGCAATTATGACGCCATGATACAGCTGTTAGACTTAGTGTTAGACTTATCAATTTCTGAGGGTGCATCTCAAGCGTCAATGGGGAGGTCGGCTCTGTGGCTGTGTACGTTTCCCCGCTAGCCGATTTGCCGCCGGCGCTAAGTCAAAAAGCACAGCAATTCTCATCCAATCGAGGACAGCGCCTCGCCCAAAAGACACTCGGAAATGGTCCGCTGCTTAATGAGAAGGCGGGTAAGTTGTGGTTCGCGAATAACCATGGATAGTGACATCCCATAGTCTGACTATCCCGACGCAGCCTTGGAGAGATTCACTGCCAGGGGTTAACGCTCGAGGCGAGCGATCCAGATAGGAAAGATCGAATCATCTAGATGCGATTTGAGAATAATTTCTCGGTCGCCCTTCGTAACTGGTAATGGTGCTTAAGCTCGTCCAAAGGTCGACCTTATATGAACCTGAGTGAACGACCACGACAGCATTCATCGACACAACCGATCTTCTCTATTTTCTTCCAGTGATCCTGAAGTCATACACAGTTACACCCACGATCGCTTCTTGCTCTTGTACCTCAGCAACAAGGCAGAAAGGACCTGAAGGAAACCTAACCATTCAGTCATGGACACAGTCCCAGTTTCGGAACAACGGAAGATTTTTCTCGCATGCAAGGCGATCTTCAGTGGCTCGAACGCGAATCTACGAAAGAAGAAGCTCGTGCAGGCTCAGCTGCAGAGCCATAAAAGCTCGCTACAGAAGCTGATACCGAACTACACCCTCGAACGCACTCTGCCCGTGGTGCGGAGCTTCTTGGAGAATGGCCTTTTCCAGTCTGAGAGTAAAGCCCAAAGGCAGTTCCCTGGACTCTTAGAGCCATGCGTGGTGCAGAAAACCCAGCATGCAGCCCTGGAACAGCAAGCATCGCGCTCCAATGAACGGGCTCTTCAAGAGGTTGCGAAGACATACGAGGCTGAACAGAAGCACGCAGAAGAAGAGGTCGTCGCCCCGGAGCCTCCTCTGGCCCCGACAGCGATGGTGACTGAGAAAGCGGCGGTCGCACAGCAGACATTAGGGAGGGATTCAGGTATTGCCCCATGGGATACGATCCCTTTCCGTCATATTGCCTTAGCCACTTGTCACAGCCTTCGTCCACTGACTCGGGATTGACTGCCTCCAGATCATACCCCATCTTCCGATCAACCGCCCACCTCTTTGTTTCCCCTGTATCTGCCCTACCACGCGCAGCATCAAGTCCTCACCACTGTCCAACAGGTTCTGGAGGATGGCATCTTCGAGTTCTGCCAGCAATGGCTACCGGACGAACTCATCAGCCGAGGCTGGGACTGTGCAGCGGCGGTCGAGCTCAGCAAATGGACGCGTCTTCTCGGCCGATGGTCGTCGCAGCTACCCGAGGGCACGCTCCGTCCGACGGACCTCCCTCTGGAGACAATCCTCGCGGCCGTGGTGAAGATCCGGCATACTGCGGTGCATCGCCTCCCCACGACTGCGCAGGGGGTCTGTGATCTTGTGGCCGTCGCCGGAAAACTGGCGGCGACGCTGGGCGATACGTTGCGCGGCGCGCAGCTGGATGACCTGCATCGTGACTTGCAGGAGAAGATCCAGATCCTAGAATCGAATCTGAGTCTGCTGGAAGCGACTCTCGCCTGCCAGTTGGACGGCATCCAGGCGGAGCGGGATCGGCTGGATCGGGAGGAGCAGGCGCTCCGGGCGAAGACGATCCAGGACGATGGCGAGAACAAGCGCATGGTCGGGCTGCTGGTGGAGCGGGCGATCGATCAAATCTTTACCGTCTCGATGGTCGAACCCGGGGCGGCAGGGCTTGATAGAGGCGATGTAGAGTACTGGCGTTACGTGGGCTGGCTCCGAGGCCTGTTCCACTGTAGCTCGGCCCCGAAACACTCTGGGTTGGGTCTAATGATTATGGGTGCCATCTCCTGCTTTCTCGTCCTGGCGTGGGTGGCATGGCGTGGGGTTTTATAGGGTGAGTCCTTGTAGGCTGCCCAAGCGCGTCCACGGCCGCACATTTCTGTCATTCGCAATTTCCTAGTTTTGCCCTTGCTTTGCATTCCTTTCTTGAGTAAGGTCTCCTATCATAGTGCAATGATACCTCTTTTCCATCCTTTTGTATGAAATTTTCACTTTTGCTCTTGTGTTTGAAGGATTTCAGGTTCACGTCAGTCGTATCGGCGGGACACTTGAACTAAGACCTCAGACCTCGCGGTTAGACTGATGATAGCAGAATAAGGTAGATTCATTCCTGGTAGAACTACCTCGACATGGCTTATGAATTGCCGGTGCATCCATGTACAGTGAGGTCCGAAACCTAGCCTGCATGATTCAGCCAGACTTACTCCACCCAACGGAGGGCTTGGATACCGAAATGTTCGACGCCCATCGTCACAAAGACAAGCTACTCTAGCCACACAGCCCTCTATACTACGACAAATGCCTGCTGCTACTATTGAATCCTGTTCTCTGTATTGGATATCTTCTGCTTCGCCTCGGGGTATTAACACTTAAAAGCACCGGCTATTCGGGCTTCACACAGGGGATCGAGCTAGCCCCCCCATCAGCAAAAGTCACTCAGACAGTGATTACAGATTGGGCGACGACCGAAAAACCATGTCTATCATCAGGACTTTCTCCCACTTCCAACTTTCCGTGACGTCCGAAATCGATTAATCACAAGGTAGCAAAGAGTGCAGTCAACTCCTCCACATCGCCACCCCCCAAGCGCTTGCCTACAATGCAGTGGCCCGCCTTACAGCCCTCGCATAGAGCTTTATTGTGAGGGCCTTTCGAGGTGTCATCATAGTCGGGCGGAGTCATCGGAACGCCATGCCACTTTTTGAGACGATACGCGACACGCTCGGCATAGGAATCATCCAGTTTCGGCCGGCTAAGGGCATTGCAGCGCTTGCAACGCTGGTGATAAATACGCGCGTTGTACTTGTTGTCGGGGAACTTGCGGATCGTGATGGCGACGGCCTTGCTTGACCACCCGCTGGCCTTGCAGGTGGGGTTGCGGCAGACGAAACGTCCCATGACGTTCGTGTCTTTGTAGTCAATCTGACCGGTCTCGTTATCATGCGGATGAAAGGTGATGAAGCTGAGGCCGTCATTCTCTAGGAGCGATTGCACCTGCTCGTGTAAGGCCGGAAACATAGACCATGGCTTGGGAGGCTGCCGCTTCTTGGTGGGCTTGGAAGGCATCTTGCAAAAATCAATGAATCTAAGTATGTGTGTGTGTGCACGTGCGTCAGCAAAGCTTTCGAATAGAATGGCTTGAGAACGGCCTTGCAATTGCTGATGCGAGTATGGCAGACAGTAAACGAATCACAAAGGAAGCTGTCCAGATCTTGGACTCTTTTTCTGAGAATGAATCGAGTATACAACTGGCCAAGAACCGCGGGAAACTTTCTTTGTGTACTAGCAGGATACCCCAAACTCGGGGAGGCTGTTGCACTATTTATGCCATGCTAACCCTCCGGGCTATGGCAATATAATGCCCATTGTTCTGGCTTCAGATTGAACGGAACGAGGCTGACCGTTAGGCAGAAGGGTGACAGGGGTGCGAGCTGAGCAAACGTACGACACTTTGTTGCGATCAGAAAAGAGAAGCGCATGCGTCGCCAGATCAAAGGTCACTAAACCAATGTATCCGCCTTTACAAAAGTAATGAACAGGCAGGCTTTAGTGCTCTCAGATTTTAGCGTTACACATTTGTTCTCAATTCGAGCACTCCATTCTGGAATCGCAGACCCAACCAAATATCCAAGAGCTAACCGATAACCATAGCCGACCCTTAGGGAAAGACAAATAGGGATAGCACGAGCGAGTACTTGCACCGCCACACTGCTGTCACAATCATGTGGCTCAGTTTTGATTTTCACACCAGCCAACTGCTGAGCGGGGCTGTGGATTCTTTACATGGTATTGGGTGACGCTTGAAAAGCAAGGCGCCTGCGCCATCACGCCTTAACCGCCAATGTTATCTTATCGATCCAAGTTCCATTAGACCGACACCAGCTCCAACGGGTGATATCAAAACATAGTACGACCAGTCTCGATCGAACTGGCTAGTGCGCGGTGGAGGCTGTGCCATTTCTTGGTGCCAGAGGCTTTTGATTCATGACCAAAAGCAGAAAAACAATACCAATATTACTCATTAACCGTATCCAAGGAGCCATTGTAGTGACGTAGTTGTTCACTTTTATGAATGAAATCCTATTCCTGGTATTTTACAACATCCTTTTTGCTAGGACATCTGCAACGCCTACCATTGAAACAAGAGAAAGGGAAATCTCATGGATAGATTGCCCGCCTCCTGAACTTTCGTCAACATGAATCATCTGTCGGTGGAGAAAGCCTGTGTCCAGACTATCCAATGCAAAATTCGTGGATTATGGATTCTAAATATTCTCTAGAGCTCAGAATGATGATCTCCAGGAATATGAGTCATATCTGGGAGAGTAGTGATATTTGAGGTAATATCCTTATACCCAAAACTGCCATTTTGTTTCTTTCCAATCTGGAGAGAAAATTGACCTGCAAAGTTGGGTATTCTCCTTGATAAACAGACCTCTAAGGCTCGAAATTATCCCTCGGGCATTCAGGCCCAGACGATGCTAAGATCAGAGGAAAAGAAACAACAACCAACAACACCCACTTGAAAAAACGCTAAAGCGGTTTGTCTATCAATTTCGCAAACTCTCATCACTATACTCTGTGAGGATGGTTTGTCATTGAGTGCCCGAATTCTACCGGTGGTGATACAAATGACCTTTCCTGATGGCTTTTGCGCTTGGGGCAATTCGCCCAAAGGCGATCGCAAGGTGACGAGGAGTTTTTATTCGATGTAAAGAGGCCCCAAGAGATTACGACAAAGGGGCATCGATAGAGTGTAACAAGCAAACAAGCCTGCGTGTGTCTATCCACGAACCGAACAATCAATATAGCTAAGCGTCTTACTGCTGCGAAAACGACTTCCCTTCGACCTTGTCGATTCTTGAAGGATTTTGGGTCGAAGTCCTTCACGAGCCGCACCTGGAAAGCAATCTTAGTTCATCCGCGCCCACGAGAGTATAGCCTCCATATGACATGAGGTCTCTTCTTCTCCACCTCATGCAGCCTCGTCTGCTCACGTTGACGGCCGTGACCGGTTGACCCTCCATTGGAAGTGGCCAAATAAAGCAACTGCTGCTTCATTCGCTGCGTCGCTTTGGGGTCTCCGAAACGATATTCTTTTAGCACGTCCACGCCCTGGTTGACGACGAACTCTCTCTGGCATGGGTACACAAGCAAATAACCGTCTTTTCAGCAAATGGAGCAGTTGCAGCTGGCGGTCGGGGTATTCGGACAGCGGCGGAGACAGGGTGACGTGGAACTGCGCCACGCCGCAGCGGCAATTCCCGGCACGACGCCGGTCGGGATTGGTGTGAAAGCCATTGTTAAAACCTTGGAAGATTCCAGTAAACGATATTCCATAGGTGGGGATGATATAAACAGTGAAAGTTAATTTTGAGGAGAACGTCACATAGCCTTACGGAATGCGGGCCTGGTGCCAAGATTACCTCGGATAAACTATGTAGATGTAGATCAATCTGATATAGATGTGCACCGTGAGTCACAAGTGGGCCCACCCGCGAAATTAGCGTGGCAAATCTTCCATCCCTGAAAGCTTGCATCTTTCCCCTACCCCACCAACCCTCCCACCGCAAGATGGCTCACCAAGCCCACAGCATCAGCTGGAACATCCTCGCTCAGAATCTCCACCACCGATCGGCCCCAGCCTCCCCGGACACAACCCACCTCGTCTCAGATCTGTACTTCCGGTTCCGGCCCGCCCAGGGCAAGGAAATCGGCTACTTTGCCGAGTCCTTCACCCGCGCCGTCGAAGAGCACACCCACACGGAGCGGCGGAAGTACCGGGCGCAATATGAGCCTATCCACCCAGATGATTTGGTTCTGGATGATTGTCAGGCGGAGAATCTCCGGTCATTAGCGTACAAGTGGTGCACAGCCTACCAGGACCACAAGTGGCCTTACAGGACGGCTGTCAAGGAGGAAAGCCCTAAGTTGTGCCCGCACCGCGACTACGCCAGTGGCAGCAGCTTGCGCCGCCGGAGTGCTATCAGCAGTACCAGCAGCAACAGCAGCAGCAGCAGTATTGACAGCAGTAGTGCCGAGAGGTCCATGGAACATTGCGGATGCCCGTTACCCTACAGCGAGCGGCTCGGATCGGCCTTTCTGCGCCGCTACCGACGCAACGACTGCTACAAATTCATGGACGTCAATGCAGAAGCCTTCTACAACATGCAGGTGGTGAGCAGTCTCCTGCTCCTGGGGGAGATGGACCCTGTGCTACGGCTGGCCGCCACCCCGGGCAATGATCTGGCGGAGTGGATGGAGATGTACGAATGTTATTGCATGGTATGTACAGCCCACAACACCGAGAATGCATACAAACAAGGAAAACACGCCAGTCCTAATGCGATCGTCAGACCCCCGACCGCGGCTGGGACAAGCTCCTCGCCGGCGCGCTGCAGATGTACCTGACCCTGAACATTCTCTACAGCATCCCCGAACTCTGGGACCCGGCCTCGCGCCAGGCCGCCAATAAAAAGAAGTCCGACGGGTACCGCAACACCCGGATCTACCAGCGCACGCTGCGGCGCTGGACCTTCGAGGGCTCCTCCAACGAGGTCGCCCAGTACCTCCACCGCCGGTTTTTCGGCCTCGACGGCCACTTCCACTGGAAGACCCGGGTCACCGGCTACCGCCGGGAGCCTGGGTTCCTACCGCTGGTGGAGGCCACCAACGACGTCCGGGGCGCGAGGCTGGGATGGTTGAATGATGCTGGCAGCTCCGGCGAGACTTCCAGTCCTACTCTGGTGTTGACAAACAGGACATTCCCCTACGGCCAGGTGCCGTTCGATGTGTTCCTGAACTGCGGGGAGACGGCGGTCTATCGACCGCAGTTGACGGATGTGGCGCGTGTCGAGGCGTACCTGCGAGTGCGCGGGGGTCTCCCGCAGGAGTTGGTGGAGTATATCATGGCGCTGGCGGAGTACGATGGTCAGCATGCGCGACGGCTGCCGGTCCCGCACGATCCGCTGCACCGGGCTAACTGCACGGAGTTGCGCGAGTACCTCACGCGATGCTGGCAGGTCATGGTGCGATGCAACATGCTGGCGCAGGAGGTGGGGAAGAGGATCGATTGGGTCGCGCAGGTGGTCGAGACTTTGGATATGCTGGTGGCCAAGCCGCCCGGGAAGAAACTGTTCAAGCGCGAGCTGATGGGCGAGTATTGGGAGGTGACTATGGCGGGCGGGAGCGGAGAGTTGCCGCATCGGTTTCGGACGTATGATTGAGAGAAGGGCTATCGCGGACTGAGTAGATAATATGGGTACAGCATAGAAACATGTATATATCTTTATTCCAGATATTGAAAAACGCTTCTCATAATCTTGGCTTTATCTTCGATATCTGCTGTAAAACAGATTTTATTATTTACATATCATATATGAAGTATGTGCACTATTTTCACATGCAACTTGAATCCTCTCTCCGAATCCGTTCTGTCATGGATTTATGATTGTTTGCATTTTAAAAAGGCTTTCAGGATATTAGAGTGTAGGTCCGGCGGTCCGATGTTTATACGATTTGAGAAGATGTCAATCCTAATACGAACGCAGAAAGTTAAGGATGGTTCTTGAGGATTGGTCAAGCCTAGCCACAGGTCGGGTACAAAATTATCAAAACTTGTATCTACAGACTAGGTCCAAATACAAGATTCACAAACTAGGCCCACTAATTTATGGATAATATATATTGAATCCTGCATCATTTACTAAGAAGCTATTGAACTTGAAATCTGTGATTAGAATACAGTAAGATCTATAAAAGTAACAAATCATTTGAACATATCAAGTGAGGACTTCGACCGCATCATTCCTAGGCCTAGCCCGGTCCGATAATTTCCGTGGGGTGCAAGAAGGTAGACAATCGACCGGGCTGTGCTTATCTGGAACAAGGGGCTCCTTGCTTCAAGTACGGCCCATTGCCTCTAAGCCACCCCTCCACCTCATTGTGTGTTGCATTAGCTTATTACCACTGGTGGTAAGTAACCTCGTCAAATTCAGCCGGTGAAAGAACAGAGTCTCCAATATGGGAGTTTTCAGTGACAAAGGTTCCCTCTGCTGGCGACGGACCTTTTCTCGTTAGTTGGGAGGCAATCTTTGACCCTCTTCTACCTGACCTCATAGTCAGTCGGTATTCTTTCTTCCCTTCTTTTTCCTATCTATTGTGGGGTCAGCTTCAACCTGCAAACCTATCCTTGCCTACCATCGCTGCATTTGTTTCTGCAAATCTGCCATGGTGTGACCACAACCGGCCTTCTACTCTGTGCATCTCCTCGGCATATCGAAATCCTCCGACCAGCACGAGCCAGCCCCGCGGGGGCGCTAGTCGATTCTGCCACTGTCTATTGCTGAAAGTTGTCGATAATAGCTTGTTTACCAGTGTCCAAGATTCTCTAGCAATTTATCTCGGTATGAGAGAGGTTTCTGATATAATAACTACTGGAAGCAACGTGGGAGTCCCCCAAGCTCACGACCTAATCCACGGCCGCGCGGCTTCAGTCTGGATAGGCTTGTTGATCTGTGAGTGCTAATTATCCATATCGTCTGCCATAAATACCTGTCACTGTCATATTTCCACGGGATTTCGCAGATTATTGCCCCGACGGGGGCTTTTGATTTTGACAATAGACACGCACACCTTTTCATGTAAAAATGTGGTCGATGGTGTGTTCAGGCTGAGTGACGGCAGATGTTAGTGTCTTGCCATTCCGCCAATCTTTAAGGAGATGAAGCTGATCTGGAGGGGGGCCAGTTTTAGTGCTTATGCGCTTGCTGACGGACTAAGCCAAGCTAAAGGTCTTTAACTGATAACTGAGGGGTAGCCCCCACCCTGCCGCCGCCCCCACTTAATTTGCTGTTCTGCGATTCGCTATTTAACACATGGGGGCCGATTGCTGCAGGGCCCGAAGCTGGTTTCTGGTTTTTCCGAGATTTTGGGGTGGGGGGGTTGACAATCTGACAAGCAGCTTGATCCGCCTGTCAAGGAGAAACACTCAAACAGAAATCAAGAAAGAGAATTGTTCCTAGACAGGTATACTATCCTCCAGACTTCTGTGCGCTAGCCTACCTATCACAATATGCTCCGTCGAGTTGATGGAGGGCTCCTCCGAGTCGCGAGCCACACTCGACTTCGTGTCCCGAAACTGGAGGAGTCGGCGATGGCCCGAATCGACCTGCCCAGCTGGTGCCTGTTTTACCTTGGGCCCTTTACCAAACAAATGTCGGTTGCGCGAGGTGACGTAGAGCTGCCGGAAAGATGCGGCGCAGGCGACCATCACCGCTGTCATTCGCCAAGAAAGCCAGATGTCAGTCAGGATAAGCAGAGCCTCACAGAAATATCACGTACCCGTTCCCATCTCGATGGAGGACCAGAAGTAGACCCACGAGATGTCCATCGTCTGCGCGTAGTCGATGCCCACAGCCACTCGCACAATGGCGACCGCCATAATGACCACCGTCGCAAAAAAGAAGGCGAACAAGACCATCTTCTGGCGCAGGGGAAGCTGTGAGTTCCAGAGGACGAAGATCGGAACAGAAAGGACTACGCCCGAGATTAATCCCAATTCCAGAGAGTCAAGGGAAGTGATGGGAACTGACTGAGGGTATCCGTCACGATATCGGCGGCGCAGCTGCCATAGATGATCTGATTGTCATGATGCACATCTTCGATGGAGCCACAGTGTGCTGCAGGATGCGAAGGTCAACAGATGCATTCGGGGGCCGGGATGATCGGAACTCACCCATGACGTAGGCGGTGCTGTTGATGGTGCAGCGGTAATCGATAATCCCGATGCAGATAATCCACGACGCTATCGTGATGCCCAAGACGATCCACCACCACACACGGTGGCTCCGGATCTTGGTTCCGAGCGTGTAGAAGAAGGTCAACAAAGACAGCTTCACCAACCACAGTCCGGAGTAGAACAAGACGAGCCAGGCGACCATGTATCCTTGCAGCTGCTCATAAGCATCCAGGAACTCGAGGGTCGGGAGTGTCTTGCCACTGAACACGGGTGAATAATGATACAAGACCGGCCCCTCGACCTGCCACATCACCGTCGTTGCCAGCATCATCGCCCAGGCCAACACGACAAGAGCATCGTCAAGGAAAAGCCTTCGGTAAGTCAAGATTCGGACGTAGAAACGGAAAATGATAGAGCAACAAGACAGAGCAGTAAAGGTCCACAAAGTAGCTATAAGTGCGCCAAAAGAGATATGGGTGCCTTGAGAGCCTAGGGCTAATCCTGACATGACTGTTGTGGGTAGATGTGGATCAAACTGAAGGATTGTGCTACTGGTGCTGGCAAAATGCCAAGGAGGTCAGGATTTATAAGACCCCGTACCTGCGAGGCACCGCCCGAGGCGACATCTTTTGCAGAATTGTGGTGTGCTGACTGCATTAGGATGCATGGTGACATGCAAGGCTGAGCTGTAGCGGAGCATTCTTGCCAAGATGTGCTCACGCTTTCCGTGTCTGGCAATTCGTACCATCAGCCAATTGGGATGCCTTGTGTTCCAACATTCTTTCAGACACCTACATCATTTGTCTGATTGTCTGTCAGATTGTGGAGGAGAAAAATATCTTCATATTAAGACCCAGTATGGGTATTCGGATACAGGATCTAAGCTTATCAATTTATAAATTAAAGTCGAGGTCCGGCAAAAATAAAAGGATTCCTATGACTCAATACTAATATTAATTCTGGTAAAACTCATGACAAGTAATGTAGAAAGGTGTTCCGTTTCTCAGGTCGCAAATGCAAACAGCCCCCTATAATCCATGCTTATTCTTCCCTCCATTTTTGTCCGCACATCTCGTTCACGACAGTATAGTGACCCTATCATAAAGCCCAGTCGGTCGGGTAGCTCAGCCATTGAGCATGTGGGTACGAAAACCAATCAAAACCTACCCTCTACTACATGTTCATGTTGAATAGCCTGTCTGGCTTTTATACACCTTTTCGGCAATAAATGATCTGGCTCTCCTAGGTATATGAAAAACAGTCTATTTCGATTTGATATGCTTGAAGTTAGCCCTCTTATTATTTCTTCCATATTCGCAAACACGTGCATTTGATTCTCTGCCATAGTGGTACTCAGCCAGCAAGCACCAGCTCAGCCACTACCAGTACTCAAAATACCCTGCCTACCACACTCCACGATACTCGCATCCTACTCGAAAATCTAGAATGAGCCTCCTTACGTTCTCTGAGTTTGGTAAACTACAATCCATCCTTCATTCACTTCCCTTAGCTTTATGGCCTATCTCTATCATCCCAATCTGAGCTATCTGCACGCTTTCTCGAACCTTAGGTAGCAAGCCGCATTGTCCTTAAGGTATGATGAGCGACCATCGCAAGACCTGATTCATTCAATGCGTTTACAATCTGGTGTACTAGGATCAGAACAAGAGTAGAAAGCACCTGAGGCTTTTTAGAGCTTGTTAAGCTGGGCGATCTTTTTTCTCTCTCGCTTTGTACCGCTTGACCGCAGAAATCTCATTCTGTCCCACTATCATCTTTGCTGAGCCACCTTATCTGCTAAGACTTACACTATATGCCCCTGCATCAATGATTATGTGGTAAGGTGGTAAGGAGATTGGGTGGAATCGGTCCGGTCCTGTCCGGGCGGGGCGGACGGGTCTTGCCGCCTTGCCTCCGCTTCCCTGCCTTGCTTGCCTGCTTACAAAAGAATCCATACCCTAGCAACCTCTAATCATCGGATACTTGTCAAAGATGCATATACAGGCAGTGACGGGACCCCTGACTCCCAGACCTAATGAACTACAATCCAACATAAAAACCCATTCCACAGAACGCGACCTATGAGGAAGAGAGCGAGCCCTGCATTTGCCCGGCCACATTAGCCAGATAAGCCCACTCCATTCCGTGAGCCCTTCACCAGCCCAAATGTTTCTGCAGGGCACACGGCTGAGGGGCTATACTCTATAGCATCTAGCGGAGGGAAAACCCAGCTAATACGGTGGCTCCATGAGTGAAAATAAGCTAGCGGGACAGCTTAGCGCTTATTGTTCTTCATCAATAGTGGGGCCCGTATACGAGGTATTGCGCCTCAGTTGTAGCGGTCTCAATGGCGCGATGTGATTTCGACTGTGATTGGTAATGTGCGCTGAGCAATCGTGGACTTCGCATCTACGTCCAATTTCTCGGGTTCGCTGGAGAGGGAAGAGGGGTATATAACGAGCGCATGCGCCCGGGCTTGCGGTGCATCCATAATTCCTCAAACCACAATTACGAGGGCAAGCAGAATTCAGAATGCGAGTGTCGTGGGCCCAGGTGTTTGCCCTCAGCTCCCTTGTGGGATCGAGTCAGGGCAGTACCGTGCGATCGCGAAATGCATCGCAGGTGCATCCGTTTCACGTCGACCTGTCGGCGAAGGTGCCGCGCATGCTGGAGCGAATCCGCAGCACGAAGCTGCCCGCGCAGCCGGTGTACGTCAACACCGGAAATGCGCAGGGAATCACGTTGCACGACCTGAAGTCATTCCAGCAGGAATGGCTCACGGACTTTGACTGGAAAAGCGAGCAGAAGAATATCAACAAGTGAGACTTCACCTGACTTCCAATGTTCGGTGTTAATCATCAGCAGATTCAACCAGTACACCACCACCATCGAAGACCTGACCATCCACTTCGTCCACGAGAAGTCCAATAGCTCCGACGCCATCCCGCTGCTGCTGCTACACGGCTGGCCCGGCTCCTTCCTGGAGTTCGCCCCCATCATCGACGAACTGACCGCGCAGGCGACGACCGCCACGGGCAAGAAAGTCGCCTTCGACGTGATCGTGCCCTCCCTGCCCGGGTTCGCCTTCTCCTCGGTACCCCCCGTGAACTGGACCATCGCCGACACAGCGCGGGTCTTCAATACCCTGCTCACCCAAGTCCTGCACTACGAGACCTACGCGGTCTTTGGGACGGACTGGGGCGCCGGCATCGCCTACAACCTGTACGACCAGTACAACTCGACCGTCCGCGCAGGTCACCTGGCTTTCCTGCCGTTCTTCCCGCTGACCCCGGAGGCACTGGCGGCGCAGAACATCACGCTGTCCTCGCTGGAGGCCTTCGAGGAGGCCGAGACGATGGAGTGGAGTAACACCGGGGAGGGTTACTTCAACGAGCAGACCACCAAGGTATGTTTGCTCCCAGCAATCTCGGGCCAAACAAACCTGCGGAAGAACTAACGCTGCATACCCTACAGCCCAACACAATCGGCCTCGCCCTCCAAGACAACCCGGTCGGCCAGCTCGCCTGGATTGGCGAGAAATTCCTGAACTGTAAGCCAGCCTCTCCCCCTTACCATATCCCCAGAGGCCAACCTGACAACCGAAAAGGGTCCGACCCCAACGCCGGAACCAGCCCCTCGGTGCTCACCCACAACGAGATCCTGCGGCACGTCTCGCTCTACTGTCTGACCGAAACCTTCGCCTCGTCCGTGGTCATTTACGCGCAGAACCCCAACGGCTTCAGCACGGTGTATAGCAAGGCGCACACCGACGCGCCCCTGCTGTTCAGCGCCTTCAAGTACAATGTGGGCTTCTGGCCGCCGGCATTGGTTGCCCAGACGGGGAATTTGGTGCTGTATCGGAGTACGTTATTTCCTCTGACAAAATGATGTGAGGGGTGTTGGGCTGCTTGATAAGGGTGCTAACTTGCGTGGTTGTAGATCATGAGCGCGGCGGCCATTTTCCCGGGTTGGATAATCCGGTGGCGTTGGTGGAGGATTTGAGGGAGATCCGGAGTTATTGGAACTGAGAGCGGATCTTTTGGGGAGAGGGGGGGAGGAGTTCGGTTTGTTGAATATGATGAATTACCATGCGAGGGATGCGGTTTGATCTATCGTTGAAGGGTATGACATTAGGGAGCTCTATAAATAGTTACATAGTTTAAGATCGGGGTCGTGTATCAATTAGGCACCCTGTCAGGACAGCAGGCCATGAACGTGCAAGAGGCCGTGGACATAAGCAAGCATTAACCCTAACCCTCGTAGGATTAGTTAGCGTGCGTGGCTCCCACCCAACCACCGAAGCCATTTTGTACAGTACATCATCTTCCGAGATACGAACCCTCAAACGCGTACATCCGAGGCACTCCACGGCGGCACACAGAAATACACCACCCCATGCCCCACCGCAGCAGCCAGCGCAGCGACCTATACCCAACAGACAAAAAGCATTAGCAACCCGGTCACATCCAACAATCCCTGCCACCCGGATTGCGCACTTAAAAGCACAACTCACCCAACCAATCCAATGATACCCCGGAAACCCCGTAGCGACATACACGGCAAAACACCTCGCGGGATTCAACCCTACCCCAACGATAACACATTAGCCCTACCTTCCAGAAAAACAAAAACCGGGACAAGAAAACGCACCAGCACCCCCAAACCCCACCCTCGTAAACGCCGACGCCCAACTCACCGTCCCCAGCGCCATCCCCACCAAGAACGGCGACAGCGCCGCCCCAAACAACCTCCCCTGGCGGGGATCCAGCCCCACCCCGAAGGACCAGAACACGAGGAGCAGACAGAACACGAATTCGAGGAGGAAGGCCTCGCGCATGGGAACGAGGGATGTGTCGATGGTGCACCCTCCCACCGCAAAATTGGGGGATCCGTAGCCGGCGCGCAGCATCAGGCCGGCGAGGGTGCCGCCCAGCGTTTGGGCGGCGAGGTAGATGACAGCGCGGGGGAGGGTGATGAGGCGGGCGAAGAAAGTGCCGAGCGTGATGGTCGGATTGAGGTGGCTGCCGGTGACGTTGGAGAAGGTGAAGATGCAGAGGGTGAGGGTGAGCCAGTTGACCAGGCTGCCAATTGTGGGGCCGAGGAAGGTGGTTGTTGCGTAGATGCCTGCCGCTGTTGTGGGGGTAGTGGTGGTGGTGATGGTGGGCTTGATGGAGGCCCAGGCTGTTATGAAGACGTTGAGCATTGTTCCTGCAGGAGACGGTTAGAGGGGGTGGATATGAGAAAGGGGGGCGGGGATATGGCAGGCTGCAGACCAACACATTCAATGAAGCCGAACTTCCACAGATCCAATTCCCCGAACCCCCCCGGTTGCAACCCCTCCTTGATGCTCATCATCGGCGCCGCGTCCGGCACCCGCTTCAGCAACGCCGCGTTGTCCGGGTCGTGCCGGTCCACCACCAGCGTCTGGTTGCCTCCGATCCGCCCCGTGAAGGGCTGGATCGTCGGCTTGGCTTCTGTCGCGTCCATTGGCGGCGGAGTGGCGGCTGGGAGCTGGCTGGGGCTTGATTATCGGTTGTGATGGATGTCCGGCAGCCGGGGTGTCTCCGCTGGGATGACGGCAGCTAGTCTATCTTATAATGAGATTTGCTAATGCCCCTGGTTCGAAGCCCTCTTGCCGAAGCTTCCACCTCGTACAAGCTTTGATTGAAACCCACTGGGAATATAGTGGCGCTAGACCTGTTTCAGATGCTATACGAGATGGGCGGTTTAGTTGTCGCTTACCGCCCGCTTACCGTAGGTGGCTAGGGTTAGCCTGTTCTGGAGGGTTATGCCGGCAGTATCCCGAAGTGGTAAATGGTGTGGGAGGCGGTCTACACTTTCGACCCCGAGCAGTGCCAGGCACAGCGGAGTTGAATGACCCTGGTCGGTATTAGCGAATGAAGGTCTTTTCTAGAGTGAGGTGTAGCACAAGCCTGTTTGTTATTCCCACTCGCGGAGCTTGCTGCCTCATAAATAGTGCATAAGGCACTGTGGTGAAGTTGCCCGTTCCGCTATATATTCATACCGGGCGACTTGGCATCTCTGCTTATTCTACCCAGCTTTTGCTCGTTGGACGAAACTGCTGTCGAAGTCTAGCTTCACCGTATTCAATCAAGAATTATAATCTGAGCTTGCGAGGGATATCGTATGGAAATGTCGGAAAGTCCTCTGCTTGCAAAGAATTGCACATAGGAGATTTGAGAGGATTTCCCAGATATAGTCATGCCTCTGGAAGGCGGTGACGATGCTCTACTAGAGAAGAGAATGCTTTCCCTCCCAATCCTAAGGGTTACATGCTTTTGAGCTCTAATATAGGACATCACTATCTATGCTTCGTATGCGCTCTATCGTCCATTCACCGGCGATGTGCTTCGCTTATGCCCTAAGTTGTATCAGCCCGAAAGACCGACTCCGACACCACTTATATCAAGACTAGCATTTTGACTACGTTGACGAGGTGCAGTACCACTAGGGCAGAAGCACAACCAGGGAGACTATGACAGGATTACGAAAACTGCAATTTATGGGGGTAGAAACGAAAGTGTACTTTCATTCACTCTACCATCCTATCTATAACATGATACTCGAGATGAGCAGAAATCGTCATTAGGGCTTGGCGTCAGCATTCATTTTTCGAGTTTCTAAATGGTAGGTTACAGGAAAAATGGGACCAACTGTGCATGGGGATGACAACAAGACAATGAATATTATTTGACAGTTACTATTCTCGGAATACAACCATGGAACCTCTCCTGGTGCTACCTATTCTAAGGAGTAAGTACTCTTTTACCCCTCTCCCCCCGAAATGCAACCCCTTCCCAAGCTAATAACAGTAATACTCAGTCCCAATCTGAGGCTTAACGCCACAAGTTCGCGAGCAACACATCCCTGGATTATTGATATCGCAAATCTTGTCCGTCGCCACGCAGGTCTCAGGACACAACACCTTGATATCAGGGAGGTCGCCCACCAGGGGAACTTTGTAAGTCGTGGGGTTGGTTCCTCCGCTGGTCCCTGTCCAGGTGGCGGCGGAGTGGTCGGTTTTTGGCTGGGCGTCCAACTGCAGCGTCTGGCCGCGCTGAGCAAGGAAAGTCTTCGAGGTATCATCCTCCAAGGTAAATGAGCTCTTTGGTAGATCCCAGGGGAACTTCACGCTCACTGAGCAACCTGAGTTGGTCAAGGTGATCTTCTCACAGAGCAGGTTGGTGGCGGCGCTGAGGACTCCGGTGGTGGGTAGTCCGGCGCAGAGGTCGCGGGCTTGATGCGGCATCCCTGCGACCAGTCCGGCGGTGGGGAGCAATGCAACGAAGTGTGAGGCTTTCATTATGGATTGAGATAATGGCTTTGGATAGGGGAATTTTCTGGGACAGTGCAGAATTGCTGAGTGTCTTGTTACAACAGATGTGAGTGTGCAGAGCAACGCATTTATAGTCAATGACCAAGGTATTTTCGATTCGCCAAGCACTGCAGCATTCATTCTCAGGTCAGACGAGATATCAAGACCGGCGTCTAGACCCTGCATGATCGGCGGTATCTTGTTTATCTGCGATTAGGTTTTTTCTTACAATGGATCACTATCCTAAATTCCCTTCCATCCCATGGCTGTCCCGCATTCCCGACCCACTCCCGCTCCCGCTCCCCGTATCCCTTCCGTTTGCAGCCTGAAGTGGCAATTAGAGTACTCGTCAGACCAAAGCTTGATTCGAAAGATCGTGCACTGCCCACCTTTTCAGATCCGGTGACTTGACAGTCTCCGGAATCTTTCAAGCCAAGACAAAGTGGACAGGTGCGCAGACATCAGAGGATAGATACTGTACCCGATGATTCTGATCAATTGCAGTGGGTGGCCAGAGAACCTCCTCTTTCCCCCGCCTCCTTTCCATCAACTCGCCTGACCACTATCCAGCACACATCGGAAGACTAAGACAAAGGGCAATTCAATGTGTGCAGTAGAAAGAAAGCGCTGGCGACATACCTAGGCCCAGCGATTTCTTCACGACAAGCGATCACGCTGTCCCCGCAAACTCGACGAGCAGGTGGCATTCTGCGAGATCTACCTCAAGGACCAAGCAGTGCACATGCTTCTTAAAGAGGCACATGTACTAAGGAGACAAATAGCAATTTTCGAGCCGCAAGAGAGGCTACTCCAGAACCTCACTCAATCGTGTGGGACGAACATCTTGGAATGGCGGGCAGGAAGTGAGCGTTGAATGTCTGCGGCTACGCCAACTGAGGCGACTTCAGGAGAACCGCCCGAGCCAGACATCTAGAGATTAGACGATCCCGGGACAATGAGGCACCTAGAGGCTGCAGTCGATTCGTTTTCGTTGGCATTGTGACGTAGCCATGTGTCAGCGACCCAATCCACGATGTAAGCGACAGTCTTGCAGTACTTGGCCCTGCATGCAACACCCAAACTATGCGTGAAATCACACCCTGCCAAGTAAGGTAGTCTGGTCCAGGGGTCCAAGCGACGGCGCCAAGCTCGCTGCATGGCCGCCACGCTCGTATTCCGTCCCTGATTGCAAGCATCCGGACAAATTCCTGGAAGGAACCAATGCAAAGGAGCAGTCAAGGAAAGAATACATCAAAGCATCCAGCCTCGTTGTACCTCCAACCTCAACCTTTTTGTCCCTTCTTCTCCAACTCCCAACCCCATCTGTGACAACATGGGCACCGCGTTCTCGTCTAGCAGCACCGCCCACCCCCACGCGGGGCAGAGGAAGCGGGGGAGGAGCCCGAGCTGACCATCACGGGCCTTGGCACCGAATGGCCGTCGCAGATCGTCACTTCCGACGATTTCCGCCAGTACCTCCTCCGCCATTATCCCGCAGACGCAGCGTGGTAAGTAACCCCCCCACCTTTACTCCCCGTCTGTGCCAAATCGCCCGACTAAACCACAACTACTGCAGGGTTCAAACGCTCCTCAAAATCAACACCCGCAGCGGGATCGGCTCCCGCCCACTGATCGCCTTCAACCCCAACCCCAACCCCGACGGGTACGCGCCCGAGAACCAGTCCACGCCGCCAACCGCGCAACAAGTCTCCTCCGAATTCCACCGCCACGGCGTCCCGCTCGCCGTCCGCGCCGCCCGCGCCGCCCTAACCGACAGCCACCTCCCGGCGTCGGCCATCACGCACACCGTCGCCGTGACCGTCACCAATGCAGGAGCCCCGGGCTACGACCAGGCCGTGTTCCGGGCGGTGGGGATTTCCTTAGAAGCGGAACGCGTGCTGCTCAGCGGGATCGGCTGCGCCGGGGGACTTGCAGCCCTGCGAGTGGGCAGCTCGCTTGCACGGGCGGCTACCCTGCAAAAAAAGGCCCGCGAGGGTGTTGGTGCTTGCGTGCGAGGTGTGTAGTATCCATCTTGCGGCGGAGCTGCACGCCACTGCGAAGAAGGTGGGGTTGGGGGATGGGGAGGATATTAGTATTGGGCCGGCGTTGTTTAGTGATGGTGCTGCCGCGCTGGTGCTGTGTAATGCGCTTGCGCTCACGGAGGAAATTCCGAGACGGCTTGCGGTGGTGGATTATCGAACGAGGATTACGCCGGAAACGCATGAGGCTATGTCCTACCGGACTACGGAGTTTGGATTTCGGCTGACGCTGGCGCGCAAGGTTCCGGCGCTGGCGGTTGCGTCCTTGCCGGGGTTGTTTGGGGAGTTGATGCGGGCGAATGGGATGGCGTCGGTTGCTCCAGGGGAGTTGGAGTGGGCGGTTCATCCCGGGGGGTTGACGGTTCTAAGGGGCGCGCAGCTGGCGCTGGGGTTGTCGGATGAGGCGATCCGGGCGAGTCGCGAGGTTTATGAGTCGAGAGGGAATAGTTCGAGTGTGGCGGTGTTGGCGGTGTTGGATCGGTTGAGGGGGTGGGAGGGGCAGAGCGCGAGGAAAGAGGTGGTGGCGGTCAGTTTTGGGCCTGGCTTGACGACCGAGATGGTTTTGTTGAGGCGGTTGGTGTAGTCCTTTTGGGGGTTGTTGTTAACAGTGAGTGGAGAGTACATTGTTACAATGAGAATATATTCTAGTGGCGCTTGGTAGTACCCTACTATGAGTATATGAGATGACATTGCTATCTTGGGAACCACTGATCTAAACTGCGTAAAGACTGAGCGAGCTCAGAGCATAGCAAGTAGGGCTAAAATTTATATAGAGCATCAACAGCAAAGCCTCTGCTTATGGTGGCATCAGCTGCCTACCAATAGCTACAGACAACACCAGATCTCACTGCAATGGCATATCACCCCTCAATCCCCCTCTCCTCATCCCCACGCCCCACCCCCCTCTTCCCCTTACACCCCCAAACCACCCGCTTACCCCAAACCCCCACAACCCGCAAAGGCCGTACTACTAGCATCTTCACCCCAACCCCACCCACCCAAGTCCCCACGCGACATACCGATCCGGTACGAACTTCAGCACCGCCGCCCAAGGCACACACACCACCGCGAAACCCAAACAATACCCCCACTGCGCGCCACTCAGCCGCGTCACGCCAAACGCCTCCCCACCCACAAAGATAATGAGAATCTGCCCGCCCACCATCAGCACGTTGATCACCATGAACCACGCATTCTTGGTGAGGCCCTGGAAGATGTTGAGCTTGTTGTCCAACCGACGGCAGTTGAACTCGTTGAAGATCTGCATCCACACGAAGGTGTTGAAGATGATCGTGTCGAGCAAGACGCGGTCGTGGGCGTCCCCGGTGGGGTTAAGATTGAAGATCCGGTCGCCGGCGAAGTACAGCGTGAAGCAGAGGGCCAGTTTGTAGAGGGATTGGCCGAGCATTAGTTTCCACATGGTTGTTGTGAAGAGGGGCGCGTGGCGCGGGGTTGGGGGGCGGGAGAGGATTGAGGGGGTGGGGGGGTCGGTGGCTCTGAGGGTTGTTAGTTGGTGGAGTGGAGTATGGGGAATGGGGGGAAAGGGGGAAGGGAGGGGGTGGGTACAGGGCCAATGCTGCGAATGTATCCATGATCAGGTTCAGCCAGAGGAGTTGCACGGCTTTGAAGACGCTTTCGTTGGAGCTGTTGTAGATGGCTGTTACTACTGTTAGGCAGACGGCGGTGATGTTGACGGTGATTTGGAACTTCAGTACATTCATCAGTGATTGGTTTTCCGAGGAACAATGTCAGGGGGGTGCCCACCTGCAGGAACTTGGCTACTGCGTCGTTGACACAACGCCCCCATGCAATGGCTGTGACGATCGAACGGAAATTGTCGTCGAGCAGGATGATCGAACTGGCTTCGCGTGCCACTTCCGTCCCGCTCAGGCCCATGGAGAAGCCCACATCCGCCGACTTCAGGGCGGGCCCGTCGTTCGTCCCGTCTCCGGTTACGGCGACGATCTCCCCGAGCTTCTTCAGGTGCTGTACTAAGAGTTGCTTGTCGCTCGGGGAGGAGCGGGCCAGGACCTGGAGACGCGGCAGGATTGCGTCTAGTTCCTCCTCGCTTAGCTTTCGCAGCTCGGGCGCTTCAATCGCCATGCCCTCGTCGGTCTTGATGCCGCATGCGGCGGCGATGGATAATGCGGTGTTGATATTATCGCCTGCAACGTCAACCATGCAAACGATCGCTCATCTAGAGACACACTCACCGGTGACCATCTTCACTTTCACCCCCGCCGAATGGCACTGTCGGATCGCCTCCGTCACTTCCGGTCTCAACGCGTCGTGAATCCCAAACAACCCAATCCAGGTCATGTCGGCGAATATCTCCTCAAAGCGGGGGAGACCCTTTTCGCCTCCTTTGCTGGTCCCGGCAACCCCTGCCGGGAGATCACGATACGCCAGCCCGATAGTCCGCAAAGCGGCCGAGGCATAAGTGTTGATGCTTTGCTCAACCGCAGCCACATCGCTATCAGCCAACTGGCCAGCTGACACCTCATCCTCCACACCACCATCAGCGAGGACAACCGTCCTGCATGCCCGCAACACCACCTCCGCTGCCCCCTTGACCAGCACCCGATACGTATCCGGACGCACGCGATACACCAATGCCATCGCCTTCCGCGACGAGTCAAACGGATACACCTGCAGTACGTCCACGCCAGCCCGCTCCGCAGCAAGATCAGCCACGTCCAGATGCTCCTGCGCCAACTGCAGCAGCGCAATTTCCGTCTTATTGCCAACCAGCTCGGTCCCATTCTCTCTTCGTTCCTCGAAGGCGGTCGAGTTGGCGACAATACTTTTGACCAGCAAATCTCGGAACGAGGCGGGGAATTTTGCCGCGGCTTGTGGAACCTGCACCGGACAAGCAGCTGGAGAGGCATGGGTGGGTAGGTGGCCGAACGACTCCGAGACGCCGAAGAACCCCACAACCGCGGTCATCTTGTTCTGCGTTAGGGTGCCCGTCTTATCCGAGCAGATGACGGTGGCGTTGCCCATCGTCTCGCAGGCACGCAGCTGTCGCACCAGGTTATGTTCCTTCAGCATCCGACCCGTTGCGAAGGCTAGTGCTAGGGTGACTGCGAGGGGGAGGCCCTCTGCGCTCGTCAGTTCATAGATCATGTTTTATCCCCGTCAAGGCCAACACATACCAGGTATAGCCACCACAATGACTGTAACCGTAACGATCAGGATATCCATGAAGATCTGCCCCTTGACCGTCGACGGCGCCGGGTTATCGGGCAGTTGCGCCAGGAAGCGGAAGAGGAGGACGAAGAAGAGAAGGAGCGCAGCCCTACCCACCGTACATCAGCATCCAACCCTCTAGCTAAGCAAACCTACGAGGAAGAAGAAGAACACGGAACAGCATACCCCAGCCCAAACCACCCAATCCAACTCGCCAACCGCCCCAACTTCACCTGCAACGGGGTCGGATCACTCTCCGTACCGAGGGACATCATGATCCGCCCATGGGTGGAATGCGGACCCACGCTGAGCACAAGGTACGTGCCCAGGCCTTCCAGAATCTTACTACCGGAGATGATAAATGGGTCGAGATTCTCCTCCTCCAGTTTTTCAATCCCCTTCTCATGAAGCACCCCCTCATCCGCCTTATGCTTTCCGGTCACCGACCGCTCCCACGCCTCCGCCCCACTCACCTTCTCTATCTGATCCGCCTCCCCAGTGGCGAGGGACTCATCACACCGCAGCCCGTAGTTCGTGACCACCACGCCGTCCGCAGGCGCACAGTCCCCGGGCTCGAGGTGCACGAGATCCCCGACGGTGAGGTCGTGGATGTGCACCATGATCTGCTGCCCGGAGCGGATGACCCGCACCTCGCGGTCGACTTTCTATCGCGGCAACCAACGTCAGCACGGTTCGGCAAACCCAGGACTCACAACTTAACCCATCCCCTAGCACTCGCACCCCTCCCCATTCTCCAACGGGAATACCAGGACAGGAACATACGTACCAACCGCCCCAACCGCCGAAACTGCCGCTCCTTCTGCCAATCATTCCCCGCCGTCGCCGCGACCACGATCCCGATCGCCACGCACACCGCCACCCCCTCGATCCAGTCCACGCGCGACTGCCCGCTGACCGCCTCGTAGATGCCCAGCGACAGCGACACCACCGCTGCCACGGTCAGCAGCAGAATGATCTTGTCGTTGTACGCGTCCCAGAGTAGCCTGCCGAAGGATTTGCGGGGTGGTTCCGGGAGGATGTTGCGGCCGTAGACTTTGATGCGATCAACGAATTGATCCTGGGGGATGGTGGGGTGTCGAGGTGTGGGGCTGGGCTGGGAGAGGAGGGGGTAAGTGCTTGTGCTTGTGCTTTTGGTCTGGGAGATGGAGATGGCGTGGTGATGGGCTTGTTGGCGGGTGATGGCTCCGGTGAGGGTGGTTTCGGTGGTAGTTAGGCCGGTGGTCAGGTTGGTGCGGAGGCCATGTTCTAGGCTGTAGAGGCCGCCTAACTCGAGGTATTGGGGTAGGGATTTCGGGTTGAAGAGGGTGGTTAGCTGGGTCGGGGTGAAGGCGAAGGGGGTGGGTGAGGATGAGGGGTCTGAGGAGGAGGGAGAGGGCGAGGGGGGCCGGTGGAAGGTTGGGATGGATGTTTGCGTGGGTTTGCTGTCTATATTCGGCGTCATCTTGTTTCGTAGGTGGTCAATTGGGTGGTCGTGGTGAAGTGCTACTGATGCATCATGATGCATTTATGCAGACTATGTTGCTGTCGGTTTCGTCATGCCTTGTGGATAAGGTTGGGGGCTGTGCTTTTGTACCCCGGACTTGAGCCGTGGTTCCTTGCTCGGATCGGGGGGTGGGGGGAACCCTAATTTGCTCTCTGCTTTGAGGGGGTATGTTGGAAGAGCAAAACCGAATTCGGGGTAGGAGGTATAGACGACTTTATATCGGAATGTGAGTGAATAGTATACATGATAGACCATTTCCAAATTGTCCGGTTCGAAAGAGGCTGTGAAGAGAGGTGGAAGAGAGGATGTTGACAGTATGATTCTGAGACAGATGTATGGCAGCGGCACCAAGACTCGATGCCCGGGTCACCCAGATTTCCCTTCTCTCGGCATGGCACTGCCTCCCTTGGCTTAATCATCGATTCGCAGGTCTGCATACCTGAGTGGACGTGGTATTGTACACCAACTTAATACCAGAGGAGTCATGGGACGCCGGCGGAGCTGTCTCATTCCGCTCTTGGCGTCTTTGACGAAACGTTGGATCACTAAGTCGTACGAGATTGGCGTCCAACTGACAATGATATTTGAATGGATCTTTGAGGGCAGTACACCAGTCTCTCAAACTGTGCAGCATTCACACAGGTAGTCAACCTCTCATAGATCATTCCTTCACGGCGCATGTTAATCGCGGAATGCCAAGCCTCGTCCAAAGCCGACCGACCTGCGACCATTCGATGTCGGATAGGATTATGCTAGATCTGGACTTGAGTCCTGAATATGAAACAAAGTGCAAAGGCTCAGCAACATCTCGCCAATCTTCGCACCAAGATCATCGCTTGCAGGTTCTCATGATATCCACGCTACCATGCTATGGAAAAATGCCCCGCATGCTTCGGCTCAACGTGGTTAGTCTGACGCCCGCAGTGGATTGTCGCGCACCGAAGAAACGGGCATCATTGGCAGGCTAGCCGCCGGCCTTGTCCTTGAGGCTCAATGCTGGCCTACACCATCATTTCCATATGATCAAGACAGCTTCTTATGTCGACTACTGAACCCTGCTTGACTCAAGACCTGGTGAGTCACCAAAAGCCGACGAGTACACCAAGCCCCAAACCCCGCGCAGAAGCCCACAACTCAAGCACACAATGGCCGACACACAACAACCGCACTCCGAACCCAGCGACTCCGACTCTTTCGAAGAAAGTCCCCTTGCCAGCATATCCCCCGAAGAAATCACGGTCGCGATCTTCTGCGCCCTCCCGCTAGAGTCAGTAGCCGTGCGCTACACCCTCGACGAAGAATTCCACTGCCGCCCGCGATACAACCCGCAAACCAAATACCTCTTCAGCTACGGGCGCATCGGCGAGCACAAGGTCGTGCTCGCGCGGCCGCACCAGATCGGCCCCGTCAAGGCGGCCCTCTGCGCCGCGGCGGTGAGCCATCAATTCCCGAGCGTGCGATTCGCACTGATGGTGGGCATCGGGGCGGGGATTCCCGGCAAGCGGGATATCCGGTTGGGGGATGTTGCGGTCGGGCTGCCGAGGGAGAATCATCCGGGGGTGATGGAGTATGATCTGGGCGAGGAAGATGGCGGTACATTTGTATTGAAGGGGGTCTTCAACAAGCCCCACCCGCTACTGGTCAGCGCGGATGGGTGCCTGGAGGAGGAGGAGATCATGGGGCGGAGTCCGCTCCGGAGGATTTTGAGGTCCGTCACCAGGAAGCCCGGGTATGGGCGCCCCGACGCCGCTGCATCCGATGTCCTTTACGATCCGACCTTTCACCATGTTAACACGGGGGCGGATTGCCGCGGGTGTGAGGGGTCCTCGGAACGCAAGGTGGTCGCCCGCGGAGTGCGGGACGCGAAACCGAAGTACCCGGTCGTACATCGGGGCCTGATTCTGTCCGGTGGTGGGGTGGTGAAAAGCCCCGAGCATCGAGACCGTCTCCGCCGCGGCTATGAGGACGCCATTTGCTACGAGATGGAGGCCGCCGGCATCGTGGACGAGATCCCCTGCCTCGTGATCCGCGGGATTTGTGACTACGCGGATACGCACAAGCAGGACGGGTGGCATCGGTACGCGGCAGCGGTGGCAGCGGCGTACTGCAAGGCGGTGCTGTGCAAGATTGATGGTCCGGATGAGCCGGAGGCTGCAATAGAGCAAAGCACGGGCGATGCGATCGGGAAGTGTGACTTCACAATGTCGCGCCACCACCCCCAGTCAGGCAATTTGCCCGGTCGCTTGCTGCCGACTTCGGACGTTACCTCAAGCTCACTGTGCCAGGACATCACAAGACCGCGTGGACTGGCGCATTGGTTTGATATGTGACTCAGCTGGACTCCAGAAACTGGGACTTGGGTGTGCATCAGTGACCGAGGCCGCATAGGGTAAAGGGTACAGGGGCTAGGACCCTTTTCCTGTTAGTGCCTATAGGTTAGTGTACTGGACATAGTCACTAGTGGCCAGGGCGGAGATTACACGGGCTTGGTCTCTGATTAACCGAGATTATAGTTTAACCAGGGGCAGGGTTCCGTAAATGCTACTTGCTTAGTGCTGACTGCGATGTATTGAATGCCTTTGTTATGTAGTTTCATTCCTACATGCTGAAATAAAGGGCATTGACAGAGTACGTCGAGGCAGTGGTGAAAGATCATCTCCCAATAAGAGATTCATGACCTAAGAGCAGAAGTATAGGGAAGCCTGTTTCCCCAAGTGGAGTGGCTGGATTCCAGGAGCCAGGCACTTGTACTCGGATAGGGTGAGTGGCTGCTGATGCTGCAGTGACAGCAGGGAAATGTGGGTTCTTCAGAACCTCAAACTGTCACGATCCAGGCTAGCAGGCTATAAGCTAGGTAACGAAAATCGACGATAATGAAATGTGGACTCTCCAGAAATCACGGACTATCTGCGTTCAAAAAAACCTTGACAAGAAAACAATGCAGAGCGGTGAGTCAGAAGAATCCGCAGAGTAAAAGGAATCTGTGGTGCGGGTTTCTTTTCAGGCCTCGTCACTGGTCTATGTGATTTACCAATTTCTTAGCAACTTGTGCGTAAGACGAAGACAGACCGTCGCTAACGAGGTGAGAATCCAGTACATAAAGTAGTGACCAACCGTCACGCGCGCTCAACGTACAGGAGGAAGATTGTGAAGATACCAATCAACGCATCGGCTGTGGTCTAAAAAGAAATGAATTACCTGCTCGGCCGAGTACATAAGTACTAAGCTATTACTCAAGACCGAACTCATTATAAGGTCTGTCAAAAAGTCGTTACTTTACACGTAAAATACAGAACACTAGTTGCACCGCCCTCCTCCCTCGAAAGCGCATACCCGCCTAATGAGCCAGAATACGCTCCACAGCGTTCTCCGCAACGACCATGATGGTCGCCTGGTTGTTGCCGGAAGCAAGATCGGGGTGAATACCACCGTCCACGATGTACTACGGAACTGCGTCAGTAACCTATTCTGAAATTCGGGAGGTGAAGAAAGACATACCAGATTGTCCGTACCGTATACCTTGGTGTTGGTGTCGACAACAGCAGTACCGTTGAAGCGGCCGTCATCGGTGCCCATCTTGGTGGTGCCAGCGTAGTGGATACCCGCGGTGAGCGAACCAAGAATGGCGGTGGTGTTGGTGTACTCGACCAACTGGAAGCCGGAGCCAGGGGCATTGATCGCATCGACCATGGACTGGATGAACATGGTGGCGGCCTCGCGGTCGCCGGCCGTCTGCAGGTAGGGCGACTTCTCGATGACGGTGCGCTGGTCCGCATCCAGCCCCAAAACACCCTTGGAGGTCAGGCCGTGCGTCATATAGGTGGTGATGGTGACCTCGCCCTCGGCCGTCGGGGTGCAGGAGCCCTGGTAGTACCGGGTGTGGCCGTCGCTGGCGACGTTGGAGCTGAAAAAGATCATCCGGTGCTTGCCCTGCGTCAGCACCCCGTCGTTCTGCTCCTCGTACGCGGTGATCTCGCTGGTCGCGGTGCCGTTGAGGATCGCGGCCGCGTCCAGTTCGTTGAAGTCCTTGTCGGTCTGGATGACGATCGAGAAGATCGGGTGGTCCATCAGGCTCTCGCCGACGGGCAGGTGGATCCACTCCTTGGCCGGGGGCACGGCGATCCCGCTCTTCTGGGCGGTTTCGATCTGCGCCCGTGGGCCGATACCGGAGTTGAACAGGATGCGCGGCGAGTGCAGCGCGCCGGAGGAGAGGACCACGCGGCCGCCGGGAGCGAGAGGGACGGTTTCGGTCTGGTTGGTCGCCACGTTCACGATCTCGACTCCGGTCACCAGACTGCCGTGACGGACAACCCGGGTGGCGAGGGCGCCCATGCGGAGGGAGAAGTTGGGGTACTGCAGGGCAAGCGGGAGGTAGGTGCGGACGGGGCCGGCACGCTTGTAGTCCTTAATGTTCCAGACGGGGTGGCTGTAGGTCTGGAACTTCTCGTTGCGCTGGGCGCTCATGTCGGTGGCGGTCCAGTTGAGGTTGTTGAAGAAGGTCGACAGGGTGGTGAACAGGGTCTGGTCGTAGAGCTTGCTATCAGCCGAGGGCACGCTACTGCCCGGGTTGCGAGCATAGAGGCGATCGGCTCCTGCAGTCACGTTCGCCCACTTCCAGCCCACCGGCCATTTATCGTTGAAGTCGTGGTCCGGGGGATGCACGAAGACCATGTAGTTCACCGTCACACCGCCGCCCAGGATGCAGGCCGCCGTACCGTCGGTGTCAGTACAAATGTACTCGGACCACTGGGGGAAGTTGCCGACATCAAAGGACAGGCCCGGAACGTCGATGGCCGTCAGGGTATCGTTCCACGACAGGGTGTAGTTGGAGCCGGTTCCGACCGTCGGGCCGGCCGTGCTGCGCTCCAACAGCAGCACAGTCTTGTTGGCTTCAGCCAGACGCTCCGCGGTGATGATGCCGGACGGACCGCCTCCAACGACAATGTAGTCATATCCCGACTGGACTGTGTGGTTTTTGCTGTCAGTCGGGCGGGCCTGGGCGCCCAACAGGGCTCCGGCTGAAGCGAGCAGGGTGGTCGCAGTCCAGAAGACGTGCATGGCGGAAGATCTTGATCGATGACCGGTGACTGGTGGAAACATGCATCCTTGACAGGTTCCGGGGCTTATATATCTTTTTCTAGAAAAATTCTATTTTCCCCTACCGGGTTGATGCGTTCATTGTCGAAGAATCAGCTAATGATGACCGAGGGTTACCGGTACCTCCCGGGCTGCCGGGCGAATCGGCATCCAGAAGGCGGTCCCACCTCGTGGCGTAAAACTTGGATAGGGTGTTGTGGAGTCGCTTTATCAGAATTTCATAATCACTTACTCAGAACTTACTCAGTTACCTCGACAATAAGGATCCCACAACGGCTATCACGAGCTAAAGTCCCTGGACACTCGTCTGTGGGTCAGAGTTATGCCAACATAGGTACATACAAGCTGCCTCTCCCTTCACAAAAACTCTGTTAGTCGATTGATTAACGTAATTCCCGTCCGAGACGCGCGCCTTGCTAACCACAATCTGCAACTCCTTCAAGCTTTGGTTCGAGGTCAGCTCGTATTAATCTATGTTGGCCCTCTTCCCGGTATCTTGCATCCACCAAGCATTCTGTGAGAAGCTTGAGTCCAGGAGGGTTCACGCGGGCTGTAGAATATACGAGGTAGACTAGGCTCCATGCCGTCTGCGAGAAGTTAAAGTGGATATCCATTTCCCAATCAGCTTCCTCCAACCTCTAGGTAGATCTTAGGGTCTATCGCGGATGGCGCCGGGCGCTTGCAGATTGAATCCGGCAAAGAACTTTCTCAGCGGAAAATCGGTTAACCGATCGGCCTTCCGTACACGCAGCGGACTCTCGCCGAGAAACAGGCGGCCTGCCATTGACTCGTATTACCCTGGAGACCCAACCCTTTTTGAGGGCCTCCGGTCTAGCTATACAAGCTATTTGGGCTTGATCATCCCGTGTGACAGACTGTGTAGATAGTATGGGAAGACGGCCAAATCTGCTTCTCGTGATGACGGGCCGGGTTCGGGCTGGAAGTGGGTCCACGGCAGACACGCTTCTTTTCACTTTCGAATGCCAGCCCGATTCTTCTTCAGATCCTCTTTGAAGACCTTTGAAGAAGACATTAATAGAACTCCAGTCTTACGAACTCAATAGAAATGCACCATTTTGCAGATCGAGGTCAGACGAGTAAAAGACTTCTCAGGCGAGCGTATGTATAGCACACAGGGTCGGAAAGTGAGATCCCCGTGCCCCCAAATTGCATGTCCCGATTGCCACACAAGATTGTGCCTGCCGTTGAATCGCACAGGAAATGGCACTTGTGCTCAAAACGTTTGACAATGTGATGCTGCAAATTTCCTATGATATTATCAAAAATAAAAGTCAGAACAATGTGTTTCATCCATTAAGCACGTCGTGGTGATTCTAGTTGTCCTGACGAGCTGCCATGGCTTTGTCGACCATTGCGGTACCGAAACCGGTCGCTTGTCCCCTGCAAAGAGCCAAGCGCTCTAAAGTACTTGAAGCAGAATGGAAGCTTTCTAGAATTGTTTAGCAGGGTCATCTCGGTCAACGCGGGTGTGGAGTCGAAACGTGTCTTAAAGAAATCTCGGCATGGTCAAGGATTCTGCTCGAGAGCGGTGAGCTAGCGGCTCCACCAGGCATGACAGACGCTGATTGGCTGCGCTCCTGCTTGATACTAAGTGCCTTGATTGGATCTTCTAAGAAGCAGTCACATGACGTAAGTGTTTCTAAGGGATTCGAGAGAGTTGGCGGTCCAGACCGTAGGATTGCATCAATACCACATTCCCCTCCGTACTTCGAATATGTAGACATAGAAGTACTCAAACAGGGGCTTCACCATGGGGTTGGAAATGTGGTTAGCAAGGTGTAAGTACGGGATTATGTAGGTACAGTACTTCCTAGCTAACTTAGCTACTGGGTAAGGTGCCATGGGAGCATAAAACTGGGCCTAGATGATATGATATGGAGCTACCTTTCTTGATTACAAAACATGATTCCCATTCCAAAGTCCTGTTTGACAATCATAGGAAGTGGGTACTCAGAGTAACCGAACGCGGTCAATTACGATTAATCCCAAACCATTAATATCTTCTAAATAGCATTGGCACGGTAGAAGATCAGATTCTCGATATAAAATACCTTGGCGAAGGGAAACCTTGAGAGCCATGCAGTGATAAGTAAAACCAAAATTGACTCTAGGAGTTAGACTCAAAAGGGGCTTAGAAGTATCTCCTCTTAGTAAGAAGCTTAGCATGATACAAATAGACAGACCAAAAAAGAGACAGAAGAAGTCTCGCACCTACTGACCATTTTTTCAACCACAGTGGATGAGGACTCTGTTTCTATCCTGACTCAACCAAACCAGAGATCGAGTGTAATGCCAACCGGTCAATCGCTCGGGGTTCCCCCAGACTTTGCACAAAACTCTACTAGCGAAGTTCCTCTTCGTATGAAGGGTCTAGGCCTCGTATACTAATGTTCCTACATCTCTTCCCAGAAGATGGCATGTCCCGACCCATATCCACTGCACCACCAAGTGTAGTGTCTCATCAGTAAGCATCTAGCGCCCAAGCGCGGTCGATATTAGGATTTCTTGAGCTGCGTTGCTGAATTAGGGAAGCACGTAGAAAACGCAGTTCGCCCGGAAACGTGGATCTTTCGAGAGACTCTTATTTAAGACGTCTCAGAGTGACCTGCCATTCGAACCATTTCAGTACTTGCGGTATGTACAGCCGATTGTCATCGGGGCTTAAATTTCCAGATTTGGGAAGTCAATTATCAACATCCGGCGAAGGAGACAAACAACTTGGAACCCAGTGTCGCCAATTTCAGTAAATACTCGTCCCCTACCTGCAAAAGCCACGAGGATTTCACATTAATACGTAGAATGCGAGAAGAAGCATAAGATACTGGATACACTATAGAAGGTATTTACAACAAATTTTCAAATGCATGTGACATTTTCTTGGCAAGCGTTTAGCCTAAATTCGTGGTTCCCTTCACCCCCTCTACATCGCTGCCCTCGTTTTTCGCAGCACAAAATAGGACCTCCGACAGAAAACAGGCCAATGAATGCTCTCCTGCCCATACAACTGATAGTCCCTCAACTCTTGGTTCTCTAGAGATAGATAATGCGTGGCCGAGTATTTCTCACGGACAAATGATTGTGCGCAATGGAGCTTATTAGTCTGGATCTGGAAATAGTGCTACTCTGCATGTGGCAGGCATTGAATCAGGTGCAATTCGGAGGTATTTCTGAGTTCCCTAGAGAAGTAATCAATGGGGTCAAGTATGTTTCGGTGGCAAGACCGATCCGCGTGGAAGATATTTACGAAAACAAAATTGGTATACGGATACGGCTTGGTTACAGCCTTACATCACAGCACTGTTGCATGAGTTTGAAAATTGTTTTGCTAACATAATCGAACCGAGATGATGTTTAGTACGTGCAATGAGTGCAAGCCGAGGCAATTTCCGGCTAATCTGGAAGGACAGTAAGACCTGACATGAAATAGTTGTTCAGTTCACCTGTGGTGCCTAAAGCTGACCTATCGCTGTGAAGGGCTAGATCGCTGAACGGGAATCACTACACGCCTTATGGGTCCTTCTCTCATTCATCCACGCGGGCCCTGGATCTCACCTGTTCGTAATCACAGAGACCGCAAACTTATGATTAGCAGCACTAAATCGAGTAAGCAGGTAGGATTTCTACGAGTAGTTAAATTGGGTTCCCAGGAACCCGTGCATTCCAAACCAATCAAGTGTTGATGGCCAAGACATGGCCAAGACATTCTCAGTGCACGGTCCCAAACGACCTCAAACAGCACAAATCAAGACGGCGCCCCGCAATGAAGACACCCAAAAAAGGTCTACGGCACGCACTTATTTCCACTAGCGCGGGGAGTGTTAGGTTCACGAGGCTGACCGTTAATCTCCGGGGATGCGACAAACCTCACCTTATAATCCCCCCTCGCCCCTTGCTTCCATCTCTCCCACCAACCATTCCAACTACCAGTCATTCTTTACAGAATACAGAATCCAGTCACTCGTTTACTCTTCGGTTCTATCCTCATATTTCCTGACTAATGCTCTTGTGGTCATCTTGAGCATTCTTTGCATATACCCCTTTCTATAACCCGCTTGCACCGCACTCCCGCACCAGAACTGCAATCGACCGCGACACCATGCGTCTATCCACCCCGGCACTGCTGGTGTCGCTGACATCCCTCGCCTCGGCGATCAGCATCACCAAGCCGAGTCTCAACGCAACCTACCTGGCCGGCTCCACCCTGACCGTGAACTGGACGAGCGTCGACACAGACCCCAGCTACTTCAGCCTGTATCTCTGGAACTTCGTCTCGTGGCCGCCGACCTACGTGCCGCTGGCCCTGGACATCCCGACCTCCGACCTGACGCACCGCGTGCAGATCCCCTGCGACACCGACCCGGAGTGGGGGTACCAGATCAGCGGCATTAACGGCACCAACGTATACATTATCTACGCGCAGAGCGAGAAGTTCACCGTCGCGCCGCCGGTGCAGCCTTGCTCCGACCCTCAACCCTCGTCTCTCCCGGGGCTGCCGTCTCCCTCGCGCACCCCGGTGGCCGCCCCCACCTGCCCGGCCCCGGCCACGCAGACCGTTTATGTCACGGTGAGCCCCACCGGTTCCAGCTCTGTCTTGCCTCATCACCACCACACCGATCATTATGACCACCACCATCATCACTCTCCTTCAAATGTTCTTCCCGCTGCTACCCCCGCCATCCCCGTTGCTGTTGTCCCCGTCGTGACCTCCAAAACCGTGAAACCTGGAATCGTGCCTAAGACTATTGGTTGGTGTTCAGACTATGCCCACCCTGTGACCCTCAGCAAAGTGCCCACGCCCACGGCGGCAGTGGTGGAGGTGTCAACCGGGCTGACGACGGCGGTGGTGACTGCTGCGCCGAGTGCGGAGGGGGGCGACGTGATGGTGGAGACGGTGACGACGACGGTTAGTGTTGTGGGGGAGGCGTGCAAGTTCGCTTGAGGATCAGGTTGATCGCAGAGTTCAGCTGCGCCATTACTGTTATATATGTGGTGTATGATACTTCAGTCCAAGCATGATCTAAGCAAGCTCTATCATCCGATACCCATACTCAACACACTCGACATGCACCCACAAACCCATACTCTACCCCCACTCCACACCACGTTCCAAACCAACCCACAACAACTCTACTTCTAATCCCACCACCCCGAAGCCTGCACCACCTCCCCCTTCGCCCACCCGCCCTCCCCCCCAGTAAAAGGCGCAGTCCGCAGCCCCTCCTTGTTGTACCCCCCAACCACAACCCCCTGCACCGCCCTAACCTCCGACTCCTCATCCTCATCATCCGACTCCTCGCACCCCACCGACGCAAACACACAAACCACCACCTCCTGGACCTCCGGCTTCCCCAGCCGGCCCTGATACTCCTCGAACACATGCTCCGGGGCCCGGCGCTCATCGCGCCAGACCACCCCGACGTACCAACTGTACCGCAGCAGCTCATTGAAGAACAACAGCTCGAAGAGCGTCTCCATTCGGAGGCCATCTTCTAAGGCATTTTCCGTCTGTGGGGAATTCTGTAATAGCGTTACTTTGCATTGCGCACACAAACAAAGAAAGAGAAGGGACAAACATACCCAACTCTCCAAGCACACCTCCTCCCCACTCATCCCACTGCACGCGGTCATCAGTCCCACCGACTGCAGAGGCGGATGCTGTTGCTGCTGCTGCACCAGCATCCGGCGCCAGCTGGCCTCCTTCCGGAAATAGGCGGGGCGTTTGTCCGGGCGCGCGACGAAGTCGAGAGTGTGCCAGTGGAAAGCCCCGTGGCGGGCGGAGGGAGCTTCCCCCGACGAGCTGCTGCAGCCGGGGCGCTGCGGGAAGAATCCGGGGAATGCCCACGCCAGCAGCGGGTTGAACTTCTTGCTCTCTGGTGCGGCGGTGGTGGGGGATGCTCGGGCGGGCCGGAAGAATAGGGCTTCCTGGAGCGGGTGGGAGGTTTGGATGAGGGTGCGCCAGGTGCGGCAGGTTAGTTGGGCGACGGTGAGGAGGGTGCGCGGGTCGAGTTGCGAGAGGATGAGCTCGAGGAGCTCGGGGGTGTTGAGGGTGTGCTGCGTTGGGGATTCGGAGGGGCTATTCATTTTTTTTGTTGGTTAATTCCACTTTGGGTGAGAGATTTGCAGACGTTTGGTGGGTTGGAGGGGACGTGAGAGGGAGGCTCGTATCGCCTGTCAGCCTTGTCGGTCACGTGATGTCGTTTGTCTCCATGCTCAGGTGGGTGCTAGCTTGGCTGTACTTGAAGAACTGGTTTGCTGGGGGGGCATTGTTATAGGGGTTAAAGGTGTTGATCGGCATGTGTGTACCGCAGCCTGATGCTTGCATAGGTGCAGGTGCAGTGCTCAGGTACAGTAAATACGCTACCGAGGGAGATGCCTTCAACCCGACGTCGCCAGCCGCGGATGACGTATGCGACTTATCAGACACTCTTAAGAGGCTCACAACGACGTCCGATGTCTTACTCTCATATTCCAGTAAATATCTACTCCGCCTACTGCGGATCGTGTGGATTGTCGCTCCACTGTGTCTTACCGAGTGCCAGGCTAGCCCTTTGAATATCCCCAAAAAATGGGTTCCACACTCTGAATCTTTATCCGACGCCAAGCCCGGATGAAATGCAGCCGTTCGGCTAGACGATCTGGTTATGGTAGTCTAGCATATGCTAATATGATATAGCATTTATTCTTTCTGGCATGGCAAGTGCAGTATAATAAGATGAAATCTGTATCAATCCTACTTGTACAAATCATTGTATAGGATAAACTTCACCCTCATCATTAGGCAGTTTCAAACCAACCAAAGAATAAATACAACAATTCAGACGCAAAATCATAAAACTAGGCAATGTAAGCATTTGCTAGCCATCATAAACTCAGATGAAGGAAATACCAACACACGATCCTGCAGCAACCCCCAAAAAGACAAAGTTATTCCACAAAATTACCCCCCCTTCAAAGCCCACCCCTCCCTTCCAAGTTCACCCCCAAGATCCCCAGAATCTACCCAAACAAATCCTCCACCCTCACGACCCCCCTCCTCACCATCTCCGCCACCACCGGCCCACTATCACTATAAAACTGGAACTGCTTGATCCGAATCCCCTCATTCAGCTCATTTGAGGTGTGCACAAACCGAAACCGAAACATACTCTCCACGCCCAGATCCCACTCTTGTCCATCCAAATCCTTGGCCTTCTTCTCCCCAGGAATCTTCCCGTCGGGCAGATCAATAAACAACTTCCCCTCGCCGACAAACTCCCATCCACCGCCCTCATCATCACAGTCCACCACGCACACCCAGCTGGGCTCGTGGTGGGACCGCGCAAACACCGCGTACTCTTGCCGCATCTCCTCCCACGCGGCGAGCCCGCCCTCGCACCGCTCGCCGTTGGGTTTAACGAACACAAAATCTGGGGTCACCCAGTCTGTGTAGGGCGTTGTCCAGCTCTGCCGCGTGTCCCAGGCGTGCGTGCATTTTTCCATCCAGGCCATGGCGGGGTGCGCCCGGGCTGGGTCCCAGTTTTGGGTGCGGGTGATGTAGGCTGTGGTTTTTGGGGGGGTCATTTTTTTTGGTTTTTGGAGTTGGGTTTGTTGGGAGGTGGATTTGGATGTGGATTGATTTGGTTTGTGGTGGTATGGTGTTGTAGTTGCTGGGGATTTGTGGTTTTGGTTGGTGGAGGGAGAAGGGGAAGGCTATATATATGCACCATGGTCGCTTTTAACAAAATTGTGGGTTGGATCAAGGGGTCATGACTACAAAGTTCCGAGCTCATTTGCACGGATCGCGGTGTATACGAGGTGAAGCGGTGGCATGATGAGTCCACACTCGATCAGATTGTGCTGTATGAAAGGAAAATCAGTGGAAAGTGTGGGGTAGACCGGCCCAGATCCCCGGGTCAAGGTTGGATCCAGAGATCCGGTCTCGGATATACGAACCGCACTACACTCTAATTGTATGCCCCCGCGATCATAAGCACAAGGATGACATGAATTGCCCATGGTTGGAGCCATTGTGACTGGAGTGATTCGGTGAGTTCAGAGGAACTTCACTCTTGTTGATCGTAAATTTAGGTTAGACTTCGTGACGCGTTGAGCGTGGACTGCCTACTGCCTACCCGCCATTGACTTTTGGAGTAGTGCCAGGTCTCGCATGAATGCAAGAAGTAAAGGCCGGGGCTTTTGACTATGGTAGCCCAGTCAATGAATTGCATGTTTACACAGGGAACGGGTTGTTCCCATTAGTGTTCTATAGTGCAGACCCATCTTACCGCACATTTGTCGCACCCGCGCAAGCGCTATACCACCAAGCCCTGTAGTACGAGATCTGGTGTTTCTACATTCTTCGTGTACCTACAGTGCAAACCCCTCTCCAATAAGTTAGAGTCCGACAGTAATTGAGATTCCAACAATGGTCAAAGCAAACAGTCTATACCTATCTACAGGACACATGATACTACTATACCCTTGATCAACCCACTCAACCCCTCGCAACCCCAGTATAACACCCCTCATCCCGCCACAGGACTGTCTTCTTGCCTCCCTTCACCGAATACACACTACCCCCCAAATCCGCCACAATGACCTCCTCCTCCTCCCCCAAACACAAACCAATCGGCTCATGAAAATGCCTTGCCAGCACCTTCTTCCCGGCCCCCCTATCGCCAAGATCCAACACATTCAATGAACACCCGACTGGATGCTCCCCACGATCCGTCCAATACAACCGTTTTGCGCCTGCATCAATCTCCAAATCAATCGGCTCCGGCAACCCCTCCAACAGCACCTCGACGTCCTCACGCGTTTCGGCCGTCTGGCCCGCGGGTATCTCCATCCCAGCCCGGAATATCCGGCCCTGATTCCCCTTGCTAGGCCCCTTCTGCGTCCAGTACACATACCCCGCCGCCACATCGAGCGCCACCCCGACGCACCACCGCGTCATGTCCCCCTTCTGTGCTTCCGAGCCGGCCTGGACCAGGATTTCATGCCCCGATCCATCAAAGTTGCACCGGTGCACGCCCATGCCCTCGCGATCGCAGAAGTAGAGCTTTTCGGCGGTTTCGTCCAGGGTGAGTTGTTTGGGCGTGTGGACGTTTCCCGCGGGGATGAGGGTGCGTATGTCGCGTCCGTCGGCGTGGGCGGAGTGCACGGATCCGTCGCGCGTGGAGGTTGCTGCGCCCATGTTTGTCCAGAAGATGCGGCCGGCGGACGGGGAGTAGGCGATGCCGTCGGGGAGGGATTGACCTGTTATCAGGGGGTGCATTTTCTTGGTGGTGGGGTTGAAGGATAGGATGCGTCCGGCTTGCGCGAGGGGGGTGGTTGCGGGGACGTTGGCGCCTAGGCCTACGTCTAGGAGGTAGAGGGGTTGCGTTTGCTCGGGGTCTGGCCGGAAGGCAGCGTGAGGTGTATTAGGCCCATATAGCCCGCCGCCTGCGCTCTTGAGCCCTAACCTCCCTTTCCACAGGTAGTGCTCCCGCAGCCAGTCGACGGTCATCGACGCGTCGAGCCCCCGCTCGCCGATGTAGTTGTCCTCGATGAAGGCGACCGTGTCCAGGCCGATCTGGTCCATCAGCCGACACGGGGGCTGGCTGTGCGGTTGCTGAAACATCTCCGTCCACAGGGTGTCGATCTCCCCCGCGGAGCTGACGTCTTCGGCTAGGATGAGCAGGATCTCTCGCTTGATGGCTGCCCAGAGGCGGTTGAAGATGAATCTGCCCTCATGTCAGCAGGATTGAATTCCATGTAAGATGAGGATTGAAGGGGAAACGAACCCAGTCGACTCCCGCCGCGCCGTCACCGGGATCAGCCCGCACCTGCGCAGCACCTCGCTCAACCGCTCGAAGTGTTCCGGGTCAGTCTCCCCGCAGCTCATGAGCTCCACTGAGCGGATCGTCGGCGGCATCGTGAAGTGCATGTTCAGCACGCGGGCACGGCGCGCGGGCCGGACTTTCTGGATCATGAGTCGGGACTTGAAGCTGCTGCTGTTCGAGGCGAGGATGCAGTCGTCGCGGGTGTGGGCGTCGAGCTCGGCGAAGGTGGCGATCTTGAGGTCGAGGCGTTCGGGGATCGCTTCGATGACGAGCCAGGCGTCGCGGACGGCGTCGGTGAGGGAGGTGAACACCTGGTAGTCGCCGGGACCTGTTGAGATTGGGGCTGGGAGGAGGGCTTCAAACTCCGCGCGGTGGGCGTCAATGTAGGTGGCTGCAGTGGTGAGGGCATCAGGGGAGAGGTCGCGGATGTGCACGCGGTGGCCGCCGGCGAGGAGGGCGGAGGCGATGCGGCTGCCCAGGACGCCAGCGCCCAAGATGGTAATCGGGCGTGTCTTGGGGGATTGTGACATTTTTTAGTATGATCTCCAATCCGTAGCAAACGAATTGAAACATACTTCTGTCGCCGCACGGGTACTTATATACTGCACAGTATTGCCTAAGAAGTTTTCCTCATTCGTCCCATATCTTGATGAATTATTCAATGTTGTCAAGGCAAACCTGATCGCAATGACCAGTCTTTTCCGCACGTTCCGACTTCAAACTTGGTTTCGACTCGCTCAAATTTGATCGGACTGATAACGGATACACCTCGGAGACGCTCGGAGCTGCTCGGAGAAGTCTTGAACGTTCCCGCTCCGCAGTGGCCAAGCCGGTTTGCCGAAGCCAGATCGACGGGCGGGTGAGACGTGATCTGCACCTATTGCGGTACGAGTGAGGACTGCTAGCATGACAATTCAACAGGATGCAAGTGCTTGGCCCATCTTGGTCTTGGCCTATTCTCCAACTTTCCGTCTATCCGTTTAAGATCTAGTGATATCATAGCATGACGCTTAGTGTGTGGCTACCTTGGTAAAGGAAGTGACAGCGAGGAAGCCACCTCATGCAAGCTTTAAGAGATGCACTAAGCGGATGAAGAAAGTGTTCAAATTAGGGCATCGTTTTGTCCGGCCAATCTTCAATGTCCTTTGCGCCCAGCACTACGTTGCCATAAGGCCAAGCTAGCTATTCTACTGCACAAAATAACTCGACGATGATAGCTCAATCCCAAGGGTTGTGTCGAACTGACCCAGCTCACTCAAACCCCACCCTCTCTCCCCCATCTCCCTCCCGCCCCCCCTCAACCTCCAACAAAGCCCTCAACGCCCGCGAATACGGCCCAAAATGCCTCCGATTCGTATCCTCATCGCACCACTCCGACCCCCTTGCCTCCAGCCGCAACATCCCCACGAGCCGCTGCACCAACTCGTCCGCTGCCCCCGACTCCCCATCCCCATCAGCTTGACCCCGATGCACCCCCAACCCCCGTAGCGTGACCGCGCAACTCACCGCATTATGCACAAACGCCCACGACCGACACACCGCCTTCGACAAGCGATACAGATTCAAAAACGCGGTGACGACCCGCGCCGCCGTCGCCGTGCACTCTTTCACAATCGTTGGATCATGGGCTGCGGACAGGTCCAGATGCAGCCGGTACATGCGGCAGATGACGTAGCCGAGGTGGATCTGGAAGGCGAGGCGCTCGAGGTGTTGCTGGAGGGTGGTGCAGTGTCGTTTGTCGGTGAGGAAACGGGCGGCGGCGGTTTGGAGCGCGAGGAATTGGTCTTTCGCGGTTAGGGCTTGCGCGGCGGTGATGAGGGGTTGTTGGGATAGGACTAGTTGGCAGATGCGGAGGCTGCTGGATTGGAAGGTTAGGCCGCCTTGCTTGGGGTCTTGGTGGTTGAGGCACGGGGGTGAGGTTGTGGTGCTGGTGGCTGGGAGGGCGCTGGGCGGGCGGTCGTAGGTGAAGGAGAGGAAACAGTCTTGTTGGATTAGGGTCCACCTTTTTTGGGCCCAGTGGTCAGCGTGGGGTGAAATGGGAGGAGGCGTGGGGTGAGGGTTACCATAGTCTACTCCATCGCGGCCGTTCGGCAGGTGGAACAGAAGCTGGTACGTCGTGTAAGCCAATGCTTTGCGCGAGGCGCATGGTTGCGCCTGATTTCGTTAGTCTGGTTTTGTGAAGTAATGCGCACTGTGGGCAACCTACCCATCAGGATCCAGGCGCTGTTGGTGTCAAGGTTATTGCGTAGACAATGCCCGATCAGTGCCATGGCCTGGATCTGCTCCAGGTTGGTCTGGCTGAAGAAATTGGACAGACGCAGGCAATGGAAGGATGAGCACACTGCAATCCCATTCGTTAGGACAAGCTTACCGAGTGCGATTCAGACTCACAGAAGACTCGGGAACGTAGATCGCGTTCTTGAATGGGATCGTCGGCGAACTGCACCGCGCAGGCTAGCACAGCAAACAGCAGTGCCAGCCAGGAAGATTCCGGCTCCTCATCCGGCTTGGCTTTGTCCGAGGGGTCAAGCCGTGTGCGTTGCTGCAGGAAGTCTATCAGCACCGCCCCGAATTCGTCGATCGACACCAGAGCCGGGTAAAACGGGTACGCGGTGGTCTGGTACGTTTGCCAGTACCTACTTCGGTAAGCCGTCTTGCATCACACAACTAAAGTCTCAATGCATTGTAGTGTATGCCCACCGAAGAATATCCTCATCATCCGGCAACGTCTCGCAGACATCTCGGGTGGTCGCCTGTGGTCCCCAGAGCCCCGTGAACGGATACGCGCGCGGCACGCCCCCGTCATCCATTATCGCATCCTGCAGCAGCTGCTCCTGAGCCATCTGCGGCTCCCGACACCCCAATACCCGAGGAAAGTCCGCATGTCGTCCCAGAAAGATCGTGGCGCCGGTTACCTCCTCGACGACTTGCTGTCCTGGAGCTTTCCGGTGCCGGCTTTCCGACTTAGCCAGATTCGATGTCTCAGCAACGAGCGGTGATGGCGACGAACCCGAATAAGACTCGGGCGCTGTGGCTGCAATGTGCCGAAAGCTTGCTTTCAGCTCCCCGATCTGCCGCTCGATAGCTTCCAGCCGCGCAATGGCTGCAGCTGGATTCCACGCGGCGGGTACAGCTCCTGGCTCGGCCTCGGGCGGCCTCGGCTCACTTTGGCCCTCTGGTTCTCTGTTCGCTGATCGGACAGGCGTAGGGGTAGTCGGCATACGGCAGAGCTCCGGGTGATTCCGCTTGACGCAGCTGCTGCAGGGCATCTGGCCATTGCACCGGACCTTGCGGTGGCGGCAGGGGAAGCAGGAGCGGATGGTGCGGGTCCGGCGTTTGTCCCGGAGCAATTCGCTCACCAGCCTCGTGTCGTAGGGGTATTCTGCCTCGGCCATTGTCTGTTGATTGTGCTCCAAGTGAGGAATCTTTGTGGAAGTGGAGGGTTGGGTTCCCCGAGCATTCACTCATGGCTGTTCGTTGTTAGGTTTCGGCCGGTGGGCTCCGGTCACCTCCGCTGAGCTCCGATTGGCTCGGGCGCAGCCGGGCGAATTTGGAGCCAATCAGGTCACATGACATGGGCATACTGGAGGACATCTATCTTTCGATACCTGAGGCAATGTGTAGAGTACTTTGGTACTGCCCGACGGATTTCAACTTATGAATCTTTTTATCTTCGGTAATTTAGTCCTAAGAGAACAAAGGCAGCTTTTGCATCCGAGTTTGAGGGTGCCAAGACGAATGGACCCGCGTATATACCTCTAGACTGACCATTTTGAACATCCTCAAACCGGTCAGAGAGAATAAAGAAGAAGAGTACAAGCTTCATGAGGAGTAAAACCAGTCATTTGAAAAGATATCAGACATCGCATCTAATATCCCTGCCTAACACAAACAAAACTCTTTCAACCTATGCCCAAACCAAACCCCAACAATATCCAAGGTCAGATTGCCAGAGCCATATCAGACACCAACAACAAACAACAAACCCTACAATCAATGCAACACGCCGCATCAAAACAAAAACACCTGATCCGTCGCCTTCGATATAACCCCAGGCAGTTGATATCCTAATACCACCAAATTCTTCTTCATCGCCTCAATCATCGGCGGCGGCCCGCAGAGAAACACCCGAGTGTCGGCAGCCGGCGCCGGGAACGCCTCCTGGATCAGCTCCTGCGTCACGAACCCCTTCCTCCCGTCCCACGTGCCCTCCGGCCGCGAGAGCACATACTCCACGCGGAACCTTCCGGGGAATCGTGCGGCATAGGTGTCGAGCTCCCTGCGGAGCAAGATATCCTCCTCCATGTTGTTCGCATACAGCAAGGTAATCTGGATCTCGTTGCTCGGGTCATCCAGCGATGCGCGGATGATCTGGTACATGGGCGTAATGCCCGTGCCGCCGGCAATCATGCCGATGTGGCGGGCGAAATCCGGGGTGAACTTCATTGCGCCCTTGGGTCCGCGGATCTCGATCTCCTGGCCTAGAGTCATTGAGGCAAGGTGCTGGGTCATCAGTCCTTGGTCGTAGACCTTGATCAAAAGCTCGACGCGGCCCAGGTCGCTGTTGTTGGAGATCGGGGTGTAGGAGCGGGACACGCTCTGTCCGTTGATGGTGGCGCGGAGGGCGATGTGTTGGCCTGTCGGGAGGCCGAGGCGGTCGTCTGGGTGGGGTAGGGCAAATACGATGTGGTAGACGTTCGGGGCAATAGGGTCCTTGCGGATGAGCTGGAATTTACGCCATTGCTTGGGGTCTAGGGGTTGCGTGGCTGTGGTGGTTGAGGTGCTGATCCGGGGAATAGTGCGGGTGGATTTGAGAGCGGATTTGAGTATTAGGGTGTCGGGGCGAGTGGGTCGGTAGGGCTTGTGGGATGCGAAGCTCTCTTGGACGTCGAGCTTGGTGGAGAGCCAGACGGTCACAGCACCGGTCAGACTGATTTGGAGAGCGCTGCCAATGCCCACCCCGGACCAGAAGGAGGATTTGGAGGTTGTCCCAGAAGGAAGATGGATTTCTTGGAGGAGATGCGGGAGGAACAGTTGAGGCTGGCGCAGTATCCCGAGCCCATTGCTGTATGCACTATACCCTAGTCCAGCAGCTAGGCCGAGAGGAACGGCCGCGAGGAGCGATTTGACTAAAAGCCCAACGGTGGACCGCTGTCGCTTGCGCACGTCGACTGCAGCGACCTGGGAGACTTTCTCGAAGGTCGGACGGTACACCTCAATGGCTTCAGCTTGGTCCTGCGGTTCCGGCCAGTCAATTCTGTGCTCGCATGATAGACTTGAAGTGAAAGAAATATACCTCAGCTGCAAGCGCTCCGATCAGATATGGCTCGAGAAGTTCGCGGGCTTCGTCCGAGTGTCCGATCTCCTCGAAGGCCTCAGTGGCATCTAAGCCAGCCACTTCTAGCAAGACAGGAACACCACCTGGGTGGTCATCGAGATAAGTAGTGATGTTGTAGACTAAACGTGTGAGTATTGGAATTATCAACAGCTACATGACCAGGGCATTGTTACCTTTATTGTGCAAAATAATCCAGACATCGTCTTTCTTGTTATGACTTCTAACCTGCTCGAGGGTGTATGTGGTTGATGCCATGAGGGCTGACCGGGGAATGTTGATAAGTGCGACAACAGACGGTAAGAGAAAGGGATAATCAAGTGTGTTCATGGTGTAAGGAACGCGAGGTTTCGTTGCTCATATATCAATTAGGACAGTGCTAGCCATTCAAGACCTTCTACGACGACGAATAGGAATGTTGCCGATTGCCACTGTCAGGAAACCGAGACTGTGGATACCGAACGGGCTTCGTAAGTACTTCGTACGAACCTCGTGCGAAGTTCGGCCGTGACTGATCGCACGTCTCCACTGCAGTTACCAATCGGAATGGTGGCAATTCCAAGTAAATTGTTCGCTCATTGCTCTGCGCATAGCTTCAGACATTCGAGGATGATGTGGACAATATGGTGTATGCGTTCCGAACTCCGAGCAGCGTACACACAATGACAATGCCTCTATATAAAGACGGAGATTCAATGCTCCCGTTTTCACTCCGGCACAATCCTGGCTTCACCTTTGCAAACACCTAATCACAATACCTTGTGTCTGACCATATTCACAGGATCTTTAAAGCAACCTATGGATATGTCGCTCAAGACATTCTATCTTATCGGTGACAATACCTCGGCGCAGGATGTAGCTGTGCAGCCTTCATGGAAGATTGAAGACCTCAAAAGAGCAGTGGGCCTCGCCCTGCATATAGTTCAAGCGCTGGGTAAGTCGTTGCAGATGAACCTCCATATTACACTCAGCTGCGCTAACACGGAACTCCAGGTATCACATTCCACCCGCTCGCCGACAGTCAGATCCTCGAAACAGTCAGCGACGTGCTATCAACACCGCTCGACATCGGAATCCGCATCAACGGCCGGGCTGTGCAGTCACCCCAAGGACCGGAGGGCTTGCCTTTGGTAGGCAGCTTCTACGAGATCTTCCCCGATCATCTAGGCAACCACTATCGACTGTTTCGCAAATACGGCTCGGTGATCAAGACGACCAACATGGGCAAAACTACCTACCTAACCGACGACCCCGAGGTAGCGAGCATCGCACTCCAAGAATCGATCTACTTCACCAAGAACATCAACGAAAACCACCCGCTCTATGGAGTCAAGGACAACACCGCCATCTTCATCGGTGACACGGAGACCGAGAACTGGCGTCTGGCCCACCGCTTCCTTCCACCAGCCATGGGCCCCAAGGCCGTGCGCCACTACACCCCGCTGATGCAGGAGTGCGTCCGCAGTTCATTCTCCGTCTTCGACGCCCTCGACGCACAGGGCAGCTCGTTCAACGTGTACCAGTACATGCTCAAGCTCGCCTCCCAAACCATCGGCAAGTTCTCGCTCAACGCCGACTTCGAGCACTTCACCCGCGTCGACGCCCCGCTGCACCCGATCGTGACCAACATCGCCGACCTCCTGTCCCTGAACAAGAAGGTCACGGCCCGGGGCAACTGGTACCGCTCCCTGCCCTTCGGCGACCCAGCCCGGCTCCGCGAGGTCCGCCGGACCTGCTACACCCTCCTACAGGAATACATCGACAAAGCGACCGAGTCCGGGATCAAGGACCTCCCACTCAACGAAGCCGCCCTGAAAGCCTCGTGCGTCGTCGACTACCTGCTCAACGGGGTCGACGACAAAGGCGAGCACTTTCCGACCCCTCTCATCCTCGCCAACATGATGATCGTCACCGGCGCAGGCTTTACCACCACCTCCGCGCTCCTGTCCTGGCTCATCTACAGCCTGGTCACCTACTCAGACACCCAGGACCGGCTTCTGCAGGAGCTCATCGACCACAACATCTCCCACGAGACAACCTGGACCCCCGAGCTAGCACATAGCCTGCCCTACCTCAACAACTTCGTCAAGGAGACCCAGCGCCTGCACAACGCCTCCTTCCAGCCCGGCCGCACCACCAAGACCAACGTCGTGCTTCCAGGAGGGTACCGTCTGCCCCCGGACAGCGTGATCATCCCCGCCCTGTACGCCATCCACACTAACCCGGACATCTGGCGGGATCCCTTCCGCTTCGACCCGGACCGTTGGGATACTGAGGAGGTCAAGCAGCGTCACCGCTGCGCCTATATCCCTTTCGCGAGGGGCCCGCGCGGCTGCATCGGGTTCAATTTTGCCTTGCTCGAGGTCAAGGTCCTGCTGTCGGAGTTGGTGTATCGGTATGAATTTACTCGTGAGGGGTTGGAGGCCGTCGAGTATGACCCTGAGTTCCAGCTGATTCGGCCGTTGAATTTCTATGTCACTGCTAAGCGGCGGACGAGTTGGCCGAAGGCTTCCGCTCGGTGATAGGAGGAGGGTGGCATTTTGAAATGGCGTGGCTGGTGATGTACATAGATTGAAGGTAGAAATAGAGCCTAGGAGTATATGGATTGTGCGCTTTTGATTCCCTGAGTGGATGTCATGACGGGATTACGGCTCTAAGGTAGGTGCTTTTGGATAGCCTAAGAAGTCGAGTGAAACTCTAGTATAGCTATTCGTCATTTGGTAGACCGTGTGTTCAAGATACAGGAGTGGAAATCATAATGGGTATATGGTCATCTGTACGACGTGATGTACTACGGCAAAGGGTCATCGATTACGGGAAACTAAAATTTCTTCTTCATTGGGTCATGTCTCAAAAGAACCTGATCTAAGTATGATACGTTGGGATTTCTTAAAGCATGTCTGTTGTGAAAGAGACTAGACCGCCATGGCAACATAACCGCAAATTTCGATGAGAACCCTAGTGGCCCAGTAAAGTCATCGCATTGCGATCTCACAGAGTACCAACCTACTGTACGCTGGCAGACCAGTCCGAGACGGTGAGCGTGGCGGGACCACCCGTGAAAGGCTCGGTGCCGAATTGGAGCGCTATCAGGTAATTCCAATCAGAAAAAAGCTCTGCCACAGACAGTGTGTGGGAAAGTGGAGGAGGAGGGGTTGGAATGGCTTACTGATGAGATACTGGCTACTGGCGGGAAAGCCGTGGTTCTGCGTCAGGTACTTGAAGAAATCGTTGACGTCGCCCTGAAACGAGGTGATCGGGGTGGGAGCCACAAAGCTGTATGTCTTCTGCGCCCCGTTGACGCCGTACCACAGCTCCCAGGTCTGGCCCTCGACCGTGGCGGTCGCGATCTGGGATCCAAGGGGCTGAACTCCGCCGTAGCGAGCAAGCCTATTTTATTGGTAAAGCAGGGTGAAATATTAGACTCAGTTCGCATGCCGCTGGGCCGTTGCATTGTTGGTGTTGGGGACCGGACATACCAGATCATAAGTTCATAATCCCCACTCCAAGTAACATGGTTGATATCCGCCGCGGTGAACAGATCGTAGGCCACGTCCGCGCGGATGCCCGTGTTGTCATAGCTCCACCGGGCGGCGGTGGGGATCCGGCTGATCTGGCTGACGAGCTTCTTGTTAAAGCTCAAGCCGGAGTTGGCGTAGCTTTTGACTGAGTTTTCCCCGCCGGACCAGTTCCATTTCGTCGACCAAGATGTGCCCGCGCTGGAGGCGGAGTTGACCGTGGTGCATTGCGAGCCGGAGCCGGCGTCCTCGCCCCACAGGTTGTTGTTGATGGTGTACACGCCACCGGTGTAGGTGGCGTATTGATCGCAGAGTTGGGCCTGTTGGGCGACGGCGGCGCCGGCGGCGAGAGATGTCAGCAAGTAAAAGGCCTTCATTTTCAGAGATGGGAGATGCTTGTTGTGATGTTTGGTCAGGAATGAGGTGCTGTTCACTGAGATGGTGGCTCTGACCGGAGATTTATAGCTTGGATATACATACTGCAGCCGAGACAGACGCGGCTTGACTGTCATGCTTGTTTGTTTGAGGAGTCCGAGACAGTTAGCACATTTGGCAACTCAAGTCCGAGGCTAGTGTATCAAGAAGTCCGATTCTGACGATTCTGACCCACACGCCGGAGATTTTGGCCGGAGATTTTGGTAGGGAGGAGATCGGCCCATGTCGAATGATGTGATTCTAGTGGAGAATGTCAGACTTAGGCTGTATCTATCATCATCCGGGGCTACTTTTGCCAAAACGGGCACATGAATGTGGCAGCAGGGCGTGGCCTATTACAGTAGTGACTTCGAAACGCTTGACCTGGTCAGAGTGTAGCCTTCAACACATGCGCATTGAAGAGGGCACAGATGTTCCAGGTGATCCTTTAGATGCGGGACGCTTGCTTCAACGCTAGCCTACAGGCTACTCACCTATCAGCAAGGGTATACATCCGACTTGAAGTAGGCCTTCGCCTGATTTCGATTTGGACGTTGCACTGCTTGGCTTTGCAACATCATCGTATTTCCCTGTAGGGTAGAGCCCCTCTCTGCCAGGCTAAAGTGGATAAATAGACGCCAGCAGCAGTGATCTAGGCCATATACCTCAATCAAGTCTGCATAGTTTTCAAACGCCCGCCCCACCCGGTATTGTCTGACTGCTGCCGGACCAATCGGCAAATCATTGGTAAAATCTGGAGAAGTGTTATCGGCGAAGCGTCGGCGGCACCGGGGTGGGGACTGTGCAGGAAGCGTCGGCATTGGTGCCCACAGCCCCCGTCGAGAAACAAGGGTCTGTTTTAGCCTGAGACTCCGACTCCGACGGCAGAAGACTAGTGTGCTTGGTGTGTGGATGTAACGACGTGAAACAAATTTGCCTGGATGAGGTGGAGACTCGCGGAGATGCTCCCGTCGGCAGTTTATCACGACTTCACATTGCCGGCGGGAGATGGTAAGCGAGGAGCGATCTGCAGGCTGCAGAGCCAGGCCAGGGTCCAGCACGCTTTAGTGCGACTATTATTCCTCGGTATAAATTTAGCCTCGTTTCTGGAATGTGGGGCCGGACCCTGAATGACGGCCAAGAAGGTCAGGGTAGGGCAACAGCAAGGGCAGAGGCAGCTGAGACATTGGGACCTAGCTCTTTGGCTGGAGACTCATTTCCGAGCTAGCTTAAAGCCCTTCTCATACTGTCATCCTTAGGTAGTTTCTAGAGGCTAGGTGTGAGATTACATCGGCACTGGAGTATCAAGGGTCGCGACCACCACGGTTATACACGGGCCGAGGCGATGTGGGGCTCAACGAGGATCGGTAAAGACTGCTGAAAGCCTGACAATAAACCGAGGTTGACTGGCCCTCAATGGGCATAAGTCCCAGTACTCAGCCTAAGAACATTTTAGTGTACACTTAGTTAGAGGGAAGCAATGGTTATACTAATGGTTCTAATGCAGAAAGGTGTGTATGTACAACAAGTTGTAAACTCGAACTCGGATCTTTTGATGCTGTTCATACATTCCTAGCTTTGGATATATGTTAGGCACATACCTTCAGCCCGAGAGTGTCGAAAATAGCACCTCGTGTTTGCTTGGTTGTACCTAGGCCCTGGACTGAACATGATGCAAAATGAACAAGCTCTAGAACAGACCAGCTGCACCGTAAACCTATTTAGTGCACGTTTCATCATGGAGGGAGACAGCAGTTCTGTAGGGGAGCAGAATGAACTTGAATTTCTGACCTGGATTAGTGCATCTTGAACAGCACTAGAACAAACAAAAGTCAAGGCATGAAAAACAACTACTCGAATACGATATCTTATACGAGCTGACACCCATCCTTTCTACTCACGAGCGGATGCGTCTTATTGAACAAATTGGTTGGGTCATACTTCGCCTTGAGCAGGCGTAGCCGGTCCAGATTCTCGCCAAATAGCTCCTTACCACTGCGGTCGCCAGCTATACTTCCAGTCAGCATAGTTGAATTGAATGTTGAAAGGGTACCATCGACTCACTTTCGACAAAGTTGGAGTAAACCACCGCACCCGCTGCCTCCTTCCCCTCCCTTTTCTCTGCCTCAGCGGTGATCAACGCCTTGAGATGCCGCCCTTTCACTCCCGCGCGCGCATCATCCTTCTCATCCAACCACCAGATCTGCACGACCCCGTTCTGACACCGACTCCGATTCGCAAAGGCCATCTCTCCCCGCGGGACCGCAGCCACTTTCCCGAGATGGCCAAATTCAAACACGATATACGACCTCAGCCAGGCCGGCTCCTCCTGCAGGATCGCCCCAAATTCCGTCAGCACCGAGCGCGCCAGCCCGGGCCGCAGCGGCATCGCAAACGAGAAGCCCTTGGTGTTCTTCCTGTCTCCATGTACCGCGATCCCATTCAACAAGGCGTTGACCTGGCAATACGGGATCATCGCGAGGGTATTCATGACGGGATCGAGCTCGAGCAGTGGGGCGTACCGTCGTCTTGCCTCTTCCTCACTCGTGATCGATACCACGGCTGCGAGAATGGTCGGCCCCGTGCCACGGGGCGCACCCGGAGGCACCGCCAGGAAGCACAAGATGGCTGATCGACCATCGCCCCCTTGACCCTCATCCGCCACCAAAGCATTCGCAAACCCCACCACACTCTCTAGCTTGTCCGGGGTGAAGCCCAGCAAACCTGCAAAGACCTGTTCCTTCTGCTCATACGCCTGGAAGGTGAATTCCGTGACCACCCCGAAGTTATGCCCGGCGCCGCGGAGGGCCCAGAACAGATCCGGGTGGAGGGTCGCAGAGGTGGCCAGAACCCGGCCGTCGGCTAGCACGATCCGCGCGGCTATGAGGTTGTCAATCGTCAGCCCGTACAGGCCCGTCAGCCAGCCGTAGCCCCCGCCCAGCGTGAGGCCCCCGATGCCCGTATGGTTGACGACCCCGCCCACGGTCGCCAGCCCGTGCTGGCCCAACGCGGTGTCGATATCCTCCCAGAGCGCTCCACCCTGCGCGGTGACGGTTCGTGCCTCTGGGTCGACGGTGACCCCGCGCAGGCGCGAGAGCGAGAGAAGCAGTCCACCCGCGGTGGAGGCAGCGCCGGACGTGGAGTGGCCCCCGCCTGCGACGGCCAGGTCCATTCCGTGAGTTTGTGCAAAGGTGAGGGCGGTGGAGATGTCCTTCTCGGTGCTGGGGAGGATGACGAGGGCCTTGGGGGTTAGTATCGATCGGGGAAAGAATGTTATGGAGGTCAACATACAGCGGGCTTCTCTGCGCCATCGGACCAGCGCTTGATCGAGGCGCGGTATTCCTCCGAGCCAGGGAGAAGGACGACCGAGTCAGGCAGCTGATCCCGCAGCTCCTGGATAGTACTCATATTCAACATACTGGGCGACATGGTAGGTGAGACACTGTTCAATCAAGCAGCAAGATACGGAGGGGAGGGCACGCCATGGCAGCGTAGCATGGGGTGCAAGGCATTTATCTACATACAGGTCTGTAGATCACAAATGAGAGTCAATAACACGGATACGAGGTCATTGGGCGCAAGCTTCGTTGGTGACGCAGGGATACGGGTTGATCTTCTTTATCTTCCCGCCGTGTCCCATGGTTCGCACGCGTATTTGATATCACTAAAAACTGGTGATTGACCCCGTTGTGGCTCGACGCCTGCATATCAGACTATGTGTCTTAATTACTTTAAACCTACTCAGCGGTTCATATTGCCATTGCAAACATATATGACCACAGGGTGTAGAGATGAATGCAAGTGTTTATAGCAGGCGGTGGCGAACATGCCCTAAATGCCGGGTAATGCCGCGATCGGGGTTTAGAATTTAATATGCGGGTTAAAATCAGTAGCTCGACAGCTCTTAGCAATCCGGTCACCACCGTTGCTCAGTGAATAGACAACTGGAAAATATGATTTATTCTAAACCAAGGCCTAGCACATACGACCACAGGGTGTGGAAAACAGGGCTTCCCGTCCGCTCAGCCGTACTTAAGCCGCACGCCGGGAGGTTAGTAGTTGGGTGGGTGACCACCAGCGAATCCCTTCTGTTGTATGTTTTTAGCTCACTCTGCTATCGTCCGTGGCAAGAATAGTAGGTAGGGCAAATTTAATGATAGCCAGCTCGGAGGGGGCAGCATTAGTGCGAGAAGGTTAGAAATACCAAGACTTCCTGAGACCCTTTAGTCTAATGCCACATTCTACACTCCTCCTGTGATCTTATTTTTTTTTGGATTCTTTTAATTATACAAGTATTAAGATTCAAATCTGCCCGTCTGTTTATCGTATGGAACATTAGGCATTAGGATTTGGCCGTTGAATATCCTTATATTAGAACTCTACATTAGAAAATATCTACATTTATTCTGATCTTCTTGAAGATTATATATATTCACTTTTCCAACCTCATTATACTCAATTCCTAACTCCCTCGAAGCTACTGGCCCTGCTTCCGCCGGATAATACCGTGTCGATAGTATGCCTGATTGATAACCTATTGATCTTACTTACCATGTAAAACATTCAGCCTTGAGAACTACTGTGTTGCCTTTCTTGTATCATACTGCTATTTCCAAGTGCTAATATGTCGTCATGTCTAATTGACACCTAGTATTTGGATGTAGTAGCTTCCTGTCTTCAGGGTGAACAAATCAAAATAGCAATCATTATCACCGCAGTGTTCATCCATTTACTGTCTGACTGAATTCCTTCAACCTGATACCTCACAGTTTCGTCATAATATGAAGGATATCTCAATCAATGATGTATTTCAGGTTAGTGCATGTAGAGTCATCCACGTTCAAAATGGAAAACTTAGAATCGCGTCACGGCCCTGCGTTTAGTTACTGGCCGGACGAAACTCACTGAAATCTCGAACGGCTGAGCTCACGTTGCCAGCTTTGATTGAATTTACTGCTGAAGACCTTATCCGCCCGAAACTTCGGTCCTGGCAGCGATAGGCTGTGGCCTTATTATACTCGGTCTGACGCAAGGCGTCCCCAGCGGCTGGAACCCATACACATACACCCTGATTATTGTTGGAGCGCTCTTCCTCGTTTTCTTCTACTTTGCTGAGCGCCGAGCATCTCGACCGCTGGTTGATAAACGGCTCTGGACCACCGCCGGATTTCTCCCACTGGCGATTTCCTATTTCCTTGGGTACGGAGCATACGTCGGCGGATGGATGTTTTTCGCCGTGCAGTTCCTCCTTACAATCCAGGGCCATGCTCCCATTACTGTGGCTCTAGACTTTACATCTCGTTTCCGGTCACTGGATCCTGATTGCCGGAATGCTCGCCAACACAATGGGCCCTGTATTCTTTATCCCCCAAACGCCGAACACGACTTACTGGGCTCTGTCGATGCCGGGTATTGCCCTTGTGACCTTCGGCCCAGACCTGACATTCGCGGCCGCGTCGATCTTTATCACGTCCAATGTGCCCCGCTCCTTCCAGGGTTCAGCCGGGAGCCTACTCGTGATGAATCAAAATCTGTCCGCCGCCATTGTGACGGCCATTGAAGACACAGTCGGGAAAGAATTCACCAAAACGGGTGGCGACGGGTATAGTCTGGACTTGGACGCTTTACGGGCGATTTGGTGGTTTAATTTTGCGATTTCGCTTGCGGCGGCGGCGGTTTGTGTTGGGTTTGTTCGCATCCCCAGGAGCGAGAAGAAGGATCACGTGGAGTGATTCCTGGATAATTGGAGGCGGAGTGTAACAAGTCACTAGACCAAGGGTCGGATCTGTATTCAGGCTGCTTCGCGTCCCTAGCTGTTTAGGATCTTGCGCGGCGCAGCAGGTTGTTTTCGTATGTCATATGAACCCAAGCTCAGGGAGGTTCTTTGGGGGGGGAGTTAGTCAACTGTCAAAAACGTGCAGAGGTATTTGCAAGTACTTATTCCGCATTCAAGGCATACCGTGTGGTGCAGCATGCGCAGGCGAGCCAGCAGATCTCATAGTTCCATCTTTAGCCAAAAGCCAGGTTACACCACTGAGGAGCATAGAACTTCACGGAACCCCAGCCCTCTAGAGCGTAGTTGCCCTCGGCGCGTACGCCACCGTGCTGAGCACCTTTAGAGGCACCCACCCGACTACTGACTGCGAGAAGCTACATGCCGGGAGATTAGTAGTTTGGTAAAGCGACCACCCGCGAACTCGTTTATTGCATATCCTTACTGTTGTGTCGTCGCTAGGTCTCAAGCATTTGGTGCTTGCCCCTGGTTCATACCAAGACCAAGATTACAGCTGTTTCTCTGTGATGGTCGCAACCTTCTTGTCATATCAACGCAGTCTTACTCAGCAGAAACACAACTGGGATACAAAATGCTTCTCAATTTGATCTAGACCCTTAGGCACCCACAGTCGCCGGGTACTCCCTGCTAAATGGATAGTCCACGTATCCCAACGCCGAACTGAGTTGATAAAACGTCTCACGCTGGTACTTGGACAACTCGACTCCTTCCTTAAGCCGATACACCAGATCCGGATTCGAAATGAAATGCCGTCCGAACAGCACCATGATATCCTTGTTTGGGTATTGCTCATCCACCAGCTTCTGCGCCTTGTCTAGTCCATAACCCCCAGCCACCAGAATCGGCCCATCCCAGCGCTCGATCGCAAAGTCCAACGTCTCGTGGCTCTCATCCACGCTGCCGTCATAGACCCACGCGCCGTATATCCGCGTCTCAACGAGTGAAAGATACGCCAGCCCCAACCCGCTAGCCCGGTCAATAATGTCCGCAAACTGAGGGATCGGATCAGCCATGCGCATACCCTGGAACCGGGACCAGGGACTCAACCGGAGTCCCACGCGGTCCGCGCCGATCGCCTCCACCGTCGCCTGCAGCACCTCATAGAGCAACCGGGACCGATTCGCGACGCTGCCCCCGTACTCGTCATTGCGCTGGTTGCTCGTGTCCTGCAGGAATTGATCAAGGAGATATCCATTGGCGCCGTGGACTTCGACGCCATCGAAGCCGGCCGCGCGAGCGTTCCGCGCTGCTTTCGCGAAGTCAACGACCGTCTGCCGGATCTCAGCCCGAGTCATGGCCCGCGGTGTCGGCGCGGCGGGGTTCTCGTCCTCCGGGATCGGGATCGCGCTTGGCGCAACGATGTCGATTCCTTCGCTCGCAGCTACTTCCGGGTCCGCCGCCCGGCCCATTCCGAATAGCTGCACGTAGATGAAGCTGCCGCGCGCGTGCACCGCGTCGGTGATCTCTTTCCACGCCGCGATCTGGTCCGCCCGCCAGATGCCGGGGGCGTTGGAGAACCCGCCGCATGCGGTGGCGGAGACCAAGGTTCCCTCCGTGATGATGAGGGTGCCGGGCTCAGAGGCGCGTTGGGTGTAGTATTCTTTCATGAGGGGTGTGGGGATGCGGTCCGGAGTGGCGCGGCGGCGCGTTAATGGGGCCATTCCGATGCGGTGCTGGACTTGGATGGCGCCGATTTGGAGAGGCTTGAAGAGGCGTGATTCTGTCATTGCGGTGAATTATCTAATTTGATTGAGTATAAAGAATGTGAACGAACAAGCTTCTGTGCTTTTCACCTGAATACTCATAGAGTTCGCAACTTCGGCACGTTTATATATTTCTTACCTTCTTACCTTCGGAGCTTGTGAGAATAATCGTCATCGTAGCTTACAAATATACAGACCCTAATAAAGTAGTAAGTTTTTTCCTACCTCAGAAGAATGATATATCACTCCGAGATGTCGGAGTTGATGAGAATATCTCGCAGTGATCAAAAGTCTCTTTAGGGCAAAGAGATTGTTCCCGAAAGGGAAATGAGATACTTCCTAATTAGGCATAGTCTGTTTTCGCCATTATGATTTCTAAGCAAGGCTGCTGAAGGTTTATCGAACGTACACTTGCATACTATTGCTTGCAATTCATGAGAAGCCCATCCGTAATCTGTACCATACTGGTTGCTGAAACGAAAGGATATGGCTGGAGAGTTTCAGTTTATCGCGATACAGGTCAATGAGCTCGTCAAGGATAAGGCGACGCGGCGCCGAGCGCGCTCCCACGCTCTGAAGAAAGCGCTGGAAAGGAAGCGCGAGGACCAGCAACGTTCCCGGACCAATTTCATCCTAACAACATTTGAAGGCTCCCATCGTCATGTCAATGTCAATGATTCAACTGAGACACCCAAGCCATGCACTATGACTCGAGCCAACCCACCAGCTCCAATTTTTACTCTCCTTTCGGGTGCTCTGGATCCGTTCCAGACCCTTGCAGTGGACTCCTCTAGGCTGCAGGCGTTGCTCGGTGATTGTAAGTGATGCCCCCTCCATCTCACCTTTTCTTTCTCTCCTGTCTCACTGACTGTTCCGCGTCTTAGATAGGGCAAGGCAAGCCCCCGAGCCGGTCTTCAGCGTGGCCGAGGAACTGGCCTTCCAGAGCTTCCGATCGGTCTTCCGAACTGGCTTCCATGATCCCGCGCTGATTAATTCTGTGATGCTGACTCTCGCATTTGCCGTCACTGGCGGAAGCTTGGATCAGGAGTGTCTGCGGTACCAGGGTCAGGCGATCACATATATCCGCGAGCGGATGGATTCGGAACATGACGCTGCTTCGGAGGCGGTTATCGGCGCTATATTGCTGGTCGCGGGTGTGGGCGTATGTTTTGTGAAATAATACATCTGAGTACCTCATTCAGTGTTTTGTTTGCTGATGACAACAACTTCCGAATAGGCTCGCCTCGGCCTCAAACCTCAAGTTGAACTGCACATGGGCGCAGTGCAGCAGCTTTTGAAAGTCTGCCAGCGAAAGAGCATCCATCTGACGCCGGGGATCCAGCGGGCCATATTCTGGTGAGTGAGTCGTATCGACTTATGCTGCTCCTATGACTCGTACTGTTATTTCACCAATCAATATGATGTAACGATATAAGTCGCGCAGGCAAGATCTCAACTCATCCCTCATGGTAGGGTCTAAACGCATAGTCAACCACACCACTTTCGCTCCCCTCCTCTGGACTCGGGATGCCTTCGTGCCGAATTTTTACCGTCTTCCACCAGGTTTAAAATCCCGATCGCACATGTTTGGGGAGGAGTTCCGTACAATCCTTGAAGACCTCCATGCCCTGCAATGCATCCGGAATATTCCGCGATCGTCACACATCGATGCAATGGGAATGCTCCATATCAACAATCACGTTGCGTCCATCCAATCCCGACTCAAGGGCCTGTCGGGTTTAAATCAACTGCAGGAGTGCTGTCGTCTAGCCGCGTACCTGTGCTCTATGACGCTGTGCTGTAAGATCTGGTGTGAGTTGGTGCTTCCGGTACGTACGCTTGATGAATATATCGTTCGAACTCGTTGAATTAACATCATTGTTGCGAGTAGTCCCACATCTCAAAGGAGCTCCTCCTGAGCCTGCGGGAGCTGCGTGACGGCATTGATGCGGCGGTATGGAACGGCGATCCCAATGCCGATCTGCTCGTTTGGCTGCTGTATATCGGCGCCGCATTCGCACCGGTCGGTTCAATCCGCTTTGGGTATATGGGCATGGTCGCCTTTCATTATCCTCACTTCTCGTGGCCGAGATTGCACGCGCGTTTGCGTCAATTTATCTGGTCCGATGACGCGTTCTTGGCGCCGGCCAGGGCGCTGTGGCGGGAGATCTCGCAATACCACGTGCGATGATTGTCGAAATGGTTACCATTTATACGTGGTTAGCGCCAAAGCATCTGTCGGACCAGGGTCGGAAAGGAATCCTGCATACCTTGTCATAGTCTGCCGCAGGACAACAGCAGGGGCTGAACAAGGTGAGGTTGGAAGCGGGGGCATATTAGTTCTCATGGATGCAATGGTAAGGGCTTAGGACTAAGCTCTTTAGTGACGGTGAAATCACGTGCAAACATCAACAGAATTACCACCTCCATTGTCCTGAATCAGGACTGTCGGGTCTAGTGACTTTGCGTCTTTCTACTCCAGAGTAAAGACTAGCATTTTTAAATTCGAACTCTAGATTGAGGGCAAAGCAGCTAGTCCTTCCCCATGTTGCCTGATATGTGACCATTCAAGTGGAGACTAAGCTGTCTAATCAAGTCATGACATTTTAATACCAAACATATGAAGTGCCCAGCGGACGAGTGCCACTTATTTTGATTGAGAATGACGCTTGAGACACGACAAGGACAGTGGATCGTCTACGGATGGAGTACCTCGTTCATACTCTAACTGACAATCTATCTAGCATGAATAACCAAGCTTTGACACAACCAGCAATCTAAAATAGCTTAATTGGATTGGCTGGCACAGTTAGTGCTTATCATTTAGTCATCACAGTCCGAACAAGCGCTGCCCGGAAATTGAACCACAGTAATGTTCCAAGATCTAGGGCTTGACCTCGCCTCATCTTCATGAGTCATGTCATTCTTTGCTGCTGTAGAGGCATATGTCCTACGTGGAAACGCAGACACATCACAGGGTCTATACAATGCCAAAGATGATGTTTCCATGAGATTAAATTGAGGGAGAAGAGTGAGTCGAGCCCGGCTTCTCTCGCGATTGCGCTGGAAATGGCCTTTTACCAGGCCATCTTTTGATCATGTTGATTCAGCGAAGGGATTCGTCCCTGAGAGACCCTGAACCACTAGAAGTTGAGGGGATCAAGCTCTTGCTAGGCTATGATTCCAGGCAAAGTGCGGTGACGCGTCATCCAGGGCCGGAAAGCTAGTGGACTACTGACTAGTGAGGAGCGGCTCCACCGGTTGCCTCTTAGGCCATCGCCGGTCTCTACACTAGCCACTGGACGGTGAAGCTAGGTACTTTCTTTGCTGTAGTTTTTTAATATAATTTACTGGCCTAGCCTTGGAGAGTCGGGGTATTTGATTCTTGCCCTTCCGCCCTCTGAGGGTTCGCTCATGCCTCCATCATTGAAATGTCTTTTACCAACCTTCCCACTGAGCTTGTCGTGCAGATTTGTGAACACCTGGGACTAGCCGATTGGTGCGCCCTTCGCCTGACCTGCAAGACACTCTTTCTTCGATCGGTGGAAGCTTTCGCGGACTCGTCTTTCCATACAATATGGGTACTGGTGACAAGTGAGAGTTTAGGCCGCTTGGCAGCGGTTGCTAGGGACGCAAATCTTCGCACGCGCGTGAAGGATATCTGCATAGTCCCTATCTTATTCGAAGAAACACTTAAGGAAGAGAGCTCGCGCCCGCGCAACCTATGTAAAGCGCCAGGAAGCTCATCTGTCTACACCGCTATATATGGACAGGGATTTCGGACCGGTGCTGAACTCTACAGCCGTTCCACCGCCTACCAGGCCATTGTGGCGGATCATCGTCGCATATTGAACACGGGGACCTTTGCAAAAACCTTTTCTGAATCGCTCGCCTGCTTCGAGAATTTGGCGTCTGTCGGACTGCGATCATGTCCCACCTGGGTCCTACTTGATCCGACCAGGCCAATGAAATTCCCCTGTTTAGGGGTACGCCGGCTTCGTAATCAGCTACCCTGTGTCACGAAAATTGCCTCTTCTAGGTTCCCGGGGCCTGTGAAGGAGTTGACGGGTGATACACATGCAAGGGCTCTTGCGGCAGTGGTAGATGGTATCGTTACAGCAAAGACAGAGCTCCGGAGACTCGAGACGTGCGACAGTCGCCACTGTGGCGTGTCGGCAGAGGACCTGATAACCCTGACGACGACAAAACCGAGCTACAAACATTTTCTAATCCTGTTACGGAACCTGGAGACCCTCCATTTGTGCCTGTTTAACGCGGACAAAGTGGCCGCCAGTGAAGGTAACGACCATCGTCTGCAGGATGCATTAGAGATGGTGGAGACCGCTGCACCCAGCCTACAGACCCTCACATTCTCGCTCTCTTGCGCCCCATTCAAGCGCCTCTCGCCACACACTTTCTCCCTGCTGTCGCAGCGCGTTAACTTTACGCGGCTAGTGGAGCTGGAACTCCGTGACCTTGATTTCACCCGCGATGGCCTTCAAGCATTCCTCCGCTCCGCTACAACCACTCTCCAGCGTCTTATCTTATTCAAAGTAAGCCTAGTCGACACTATCACACCCGCCTCTTCCTGGGATTACCGCGCCCCTTATGCCGACCGAAGGCAATGGCATGAAGACTACAAGGCAGAGATTGGACTTCGGTGGCGGGCAGTTTGGGAAGACCTCCGCCACGATCTACTCTCACTCCGGTATCTTCGCATGGACACGGTGTTATTCTGCGGCCATATGATCGAGTTCAATCATCCTCCGCGGAACATCAATATAGAAAAAACACTGCGGTCACGCCCTATATACACTGTCACTTTCCAGGCTGACCACGCCCATAACACACTGGGTGAATGGATCAGTGATCTCAAGCCTACCCCGTCCGACACGGTCTTTGGTAAGTTGTTTGTAGCGTTCCCATGTGGGCCCCTTCAATTCTTGTTTTGACTCTATCCTGTGGCTGTGTAGACTTCGAAGACTAACGTAGCAGCAGGTTTCATACGATCCGGGCGTCCGGCGGAGGTGCCTTCGACGCCCTATTTTCGCCGTGATCCGATCCCTTGACGGGCGCCAGCTACGGGTTGAGTGGATAACGGTCTGACTAGGTGCGGTGAATCCTAACGTTTACAGTCTCCGCCAGACCAATGGCCACACTGCAATCCTTGGTGTCCTGGGGATAGGTTTACCAAGCTATTGGTCCAGTATGTCATTTACCTTTATGAGCATTATCTCTACTTAATTAGATTGATATCTTAAGTAAAGGTTGTCGGAGTACCCTTCTAGGTTTACCAGTTGGTGGGCGTATTTGAAGTATTTTCTATTACAGTAGGTACCTTTTCAGCATACGAATATCTAGACCAAACGGTTACCGATTATGTTCTTGTGTTCTCCCTTTACCCCAGCTTCTTATTCTCACAGAAATTTCTTTCTGGTCTAATGTATAGTACCCCTGCTAATACGTCGGCTTGAGACCATCATGCATGACTGCAAGTATCATGAAGTGTCCACACTGAGAGATGCTCTCCAGAGCGGTGCTCTGGAGAGCATCTCTCAGTTCCGAGATAGACCACCCCGATAAGTCCGATAAGTCCAAGATGGCGATGGAGCAAGGAATAAAGCACGCCCAAAAAGGTCTCAGCGAACCAGACGCAAGATGGGTACATATCCCGGTGACCAATGTAAGAGCTGCCCAGTGAGGTGCTTCCAGGGGTTCTATCTCTTCCCGCAAGCTAACATCGAATTTCTGTCACAGTTGCGGTTCATGAAGGTATGCTATCCATCGTGTTCGACCGCATCGACCGATAAGATCCAGGAGCTTCTGGTCCGTCTGTCAAAGGACAAGAGCTTAACGAATACAGACTACCAACCACACGCCTCATTGATTGACAGCAACCAGGCTCTCATGCATGCTGGTGGTCACAAGACATACATGAAGCCCCAGTATATGGTGCAGTTGAGTCCAACAGTGCGTTTTTCTCGCAGACTACACGGATCCTTGCACAGTGACATTAACTTCCATGGTCGGAACAGAGGGTGACTCCGATCGACCCCGGCAGAGAAGAGCAGGCAACATTCTTCCGCGCTTTATGTCAGTAGAACATTTCCTTGATATAGCTTGAAGGGCAACTGACATGTGTAGTAGATGTCATTTCTAGGTTGGTCAGAATGACCACGAGAACCGGACCACAGGAGTCCCGAGCAACCGCTTCCGGAATTCATTCAGTCCCAGGACAACCCCGCAAACCAGGAGCAGTCCTACATGACTCTCAATCAATATTACCACACATTGATCATTGACACCACAGAAAGAGACAATGATCAAGTTGTTGGGCGCTTCACAACCCCGAAAAATAGACGAGGACCGGGCGGCACGCCGTACCCAAGCGCTACTCAGCACACTCCTGCAATACTCATCGTGAACCAGCTATGGCTCTTTACGCTTGATGAGAGCATGTTTCCAACATGCCCTTGGACAGGATCTTTTCCAATGCCTCGTTAACGTCATTTGTGCCCGAAACAATGGTTACCTTCACAACCAGGGAAAGCACGGATACCACAAAGAGCTTTTTCCAGCGAGTACTTGCCAAGTTGAAGTCCCAAAAGAACGAAACCCCTTGGTCAGTTTAAAAAGGTCCGCGACATCGTCCTCAGCACAGCGATCGGGATGTTCGATACAACAGAAATCGGCCCAGATCAAAGCCCGAAAAAGTCGCCTCTGACCATCTTCAGAGAATCGATCCAAAATTTCGTGAGCCGCTGTCCCTTTCTTATTGCCCTGCGTTTACGGACACCGACTAGCAACCATAGGAAGCGTGAGAAATAAGCTGCACTACACAAGTCATTCTGCGAGCAACTGGAGGATGACCTCAAAAGAGAAAAGTCATCGGAAGGGCGACACGAAACCAAGGCCGTGAAGATCCAAATATTCTGCAAGTCACTCTGGCTTTGCATGACCGACGCTGTGGGCCTTCACCTTCTGCGCGAACAGAATATACACACTTTGGGGGCTGATAGAACGGGCGACATCCAAGAAGGAGTATGATAACATCCTCGCGGAAACAACGCTTCTAGTATTGAGGCAGGAGACCAGGCATGAGAGCCAGGGCGTGTTAACATAGACATTCGAAGGAGACTGGATAATATGGACATTTATACGGGAGTCGGCCATGCTCTTAGGGCCTTCCATCCATCCACCTCTTCGAACATGCACCCTTTTACCCACACCTCTCTCAGGGCTACATACCTTCGCCACCTACTCGACGTAGGGAGTGTCATTTTATCACAAGTTCTATTGGGACTTCTCAGTCTATCAAGATTATGTGACTTTTAGTTGAGAGGCATTGCAACAAAAGGGTTCTGTGTGAGAGATTAGTGTATTTAAGCTCGTGCATTACGGCCAAGTAGGCCGGACGATCAGTTAGACAGTAAAGCTGTTAGGTATCGAAATCTTACGGCCACCGGGCTTCTGGAATGTAGCATCAATAGCCTGCGGTAGTATACTATCTCACAGACATTCGTCTTACAGCATTTCCTGTGGTCATCTAGTCATTGTAGACATATGATGCACAGCGGACCTAAAAAGCTGCGAGGGCATGAAACAAGCCCCAATCTTAAGCGCCTCGGACCCGCCTTATCCAGCATGAATCAACAAATAATTAAAAAATCGTCCTTATTAAGTATATATTCTATCAGCCTACGTTTATTATGGCACGGATGAACGGACCACTTATTAATATAACCATGTCCATCTGTGGTCTGCAGCAATCGGTCTGCGAGAACCATCAAGTCTCACACCATGAACAGCTTCACATGAGATCCTGAAACGCCTTGTCTGTGTTTATTACGTTCAGGTTGACCTGCCACCCCAGGACCATCAACACGAGACTCTGACTCTGACGGTGACACCAGGCCCCCAATGTCCAAATCCTTCGCACGAACAGGCGCCCAGTCCTTCGCAGTATGACTCGACCGCAAGACCTCCACTAGAAACCGATCAGTCCCCCTCGGATACGGTACCCCGGTGCGGTTCTCTCCGTCCTCGGCGATTCGTTGTAGAAGGTCCGCCCTGAGCGCCTCGGTCGCGAGCGCGGCCCAGACCTCCGAATTGACCAGCCCCTCACTGTGGGGCCAGGAGCGCATAGCGTCCAGGGCCTGCACCCGCAACTGGAAGTCCGGACACTGGGTAGCCACGATGTGCAGACCACCGAGGACCAGCGGCTCTATGATGACGGTCGTTGTGCTGCGGGCGAGGGCGCTTATTATAGCGAGACTGCTCGATAGCAAAGTGGTGAAATCCGCTATAATCCGGGCCTGGTCACTGACATCGCTGCCGTCATGTAGCGTGAGTTTCAATGAAACTGTTTGGACTACCTCAAGGTGCCGCAACACCGTGACAGCGCGTTGTTCTCTGCTCGTCAGCACATGCGCGCGGGTTTGATAGAAGGAATCCAGGGCCCGAGTGAACTGCTGGTACCGTACGAGAATCCGCTGGCGAGCGAGCCAGAACGCATCATATTCGGCAAGGATTCTGGCTTTCGGCGTTTGCCAGGCGTGGCCAATAAAGCCAATTGAGTGGTTGCTGATCTTCATGAACGCTACTCGGGCATCGGCCACGCTTTGGATAACGATAGGATAATCCTTCGTCACCCAGTCCGGCTCTTCGCGTTTGGTATCGTCCTGTTGCACAGTTTGCCAGTATAGATCGGCCTCCATGTCAAGGTGATGAAAATAATCAACAAGAGCAGGATCAATTCTCTGCCCGCGGGCCTGTGCTTCGCGCATAATTTGCACCCCGTGTTTAACGTGCACAATCGTAATGTCGAAGTTGCCCCGCATATGCTCTCCGATCACAAACAACAGGCAGCAGATGAGAACGGTGTGGATCAGCTGTGGGTCGTTGGATCCCTGCCGGCGTCGCAACAAGGCTGATGCCCGCACCGACTGCTCCAGCGCGAATTTTAAGTGATCATCATCAGACTGTGCCCCAGTAAGTCGCATTCGATTGATCTCCGCGGCTTGCTGGATCGCACTCAGCATGTTCACCGCATGGCAAACGGCCGGTTCCGTGCAGCTCAGTTGCAGGATGTGGCTCTCCCAGAGTGGGGAGTCGAACAGGTCCGCTACACTGGACACGGTGCGGTGCTGGAAGTACGAAAAGCAGCGTTGCTCGTCCGACGTCAGAATCCACCCATGTCTCTGGAGAGAGATGACCCCGGGGAGGGTGGTTTGCCGCCCCCAGGGAAGTCGATGGAGATCATAATCGCATTTGCGACCGGTGGAGGTGCAATTTTTGCACGCGCCGGGTAGCTCGTCGCATCGAATCCGGCGTGCACTGGGTAATCAGGTCGCGATCATTGAAGGCGGTCCCTAGCAGAGCACTTACCGACAGGTGCGGCATCCCGTTCTTGATCTCGTATATGTACGGCGACGGGTGGGTAATGTGACCTCAGTACCAGGCATGGTAGCTTTCTAGCTTGCCTGCAGGCAGACAGCAGGGGTGTCGCAATAATATGATTTCTCCGTTTCTGCAGCACAAGACAGGAGAAAAGGCATTCTTTCAAGCGCAAGGCACACACACACGATCGAAGTAGTCGTCAACGGTCGCAAACACTAGTCTTGGCCCGGATTAGATCTGACAGTCGTCAGTGGTGAAAACATCGATCTGATAGGAATAGTTTTCCTTGGATCGGGTCCAGCTAGCTCGGTATGAATGAGTCCTGAAGTGTGATCCCCTCCTCGCGTATTGTCAGTGGATATTTGTGTAGCCCCTGAGAGGCTGCGAGGCTGAGAGAAATGTGGGTTCTGTGCCGTGTGTCTATATTGAATTGAACTAATGCCACTAACGGACTTTGGCCGCGGGGCTAATATATGTTACGTACCATCGTTCCAGCCGAAGACTACGTTTCGCACATAGCGACTAACTTCTTAGCTTTACCATCTCTGTGCCTTAGGGGAAAAAGTACTATAGTGGACGACCATTTGGGGTGACTCGAGGAGATAATCTTTTCATAATAGTTCTCTATTTGATGTGTATGCATAATTAGAGCTGGCTGAACAGCTTCACTTACATAAAGGCATTAGGGCAACACGGGGTCGGGGATAACTTCCCCTTCGGGGTTAACCCTCCACTTTCCGAGTCCCCCCGCTTCGCCTCGTGGGATGGAGAGATGCTTATGGAAAGGAAGCCGCGGATGGACCCTTCTAGAGTTTCCAAACCTACTCCGTATATTGCACTTAGGCATCTTTGAGCCTCAAATCAGCAGGACCCAGCCGTGCCTTGCCACACACTACCTCTACTCAATCCCCCTCCTAGTCAGCAAACCCCTGTAAAAAAAATGCCAACTAAGCCTCCAGTGATAAAGCTTAATTGTTCTATGTCTCGGCACAATTTCATCAAACCATCAACAGAAGATTTACAATCAGAACGATTTTTCAGTTCTCTTGGGTCCGGTGGAGATCGCCCACTATATAATTCATTTCTAGTACGGTGTCTGTTCTCTCGGTACTTACTGAGGAAAATGTCACGTATAGTTAGAAAACTTAGACAGGACAAATCACAGGATTAGACAGTACAGTGGCCTCCCTACCGAGATTATTCCCTGTCTTTATTGTACCTACTTATTACATCTTCTACCACCACATCGCAAATTCTGCATTGGACTATGAGCGCGGGACGTCTTCACCGCCCAACGGCTGCGCAACTATTCAACATGGTAATCTGGGATCATTACGAGGTAGACTTGTTTAGAAATCACTAAACAAGAGTCCGCATACGCTTGATGGATTGAAAGCAAACGAATTTTTCGTGGCCAAACTCCCGTGAATTTCAAAAGGGGAGAAGTGGGCGAGACATAACGGGATCCCTCTATTAACAGAGCCGATGTTAAGCTCAGAGAACATGGCAAAATATAGAGGTGCCTAGGGCAGGAGCAAACCTCATAACATTGTTTGTATTTGGCTTGCAGAAAGGAATTCTCCCTCTATCAGTATGCTTATTATCGAGAGTTCAAATGACGACCAGCAATGCTATCTTCAGCGCCTACTTAATTGGAACCGTTGACGCCCTACCGGGCTGATCTTCTGCACGTGACTCGAAACAACCGACGCTCCATCGGCATTCCAGCCCTAGTCGTCTGGAAGAAGCACAGCTAGATAGCCCGTTGGATGAGCTCCCCTGTGCTTCAGAATCGCATCGAACCTTTCTCACTTTGCATGTATAGCAACCTGCAGGACTGATTAATGGACATGAACAAGAGAACGGTAATAGACTACCGACCAGGACGAGCTCGTTGGCGTGCAGTCGAAGTGTTTATAGCGAGCATGGATGAAATGGGACGCCCCCAAGGGGCTACGGACAAGGGGACAAACAAGTGTGGATGGAATGGACCATGCGAGATGTGGGCGAAAGCAGAATTTTGGAAAGAGGCGTCAAAGCCCCCGCGTGCTGACCACGCGATGAGCTCAAGGTAAGGGATGACAGGCGTGGTCGATGGTTGATAGGGATTGTATTACCCTAATATCAGACATGGTGGGATTATAAGGTATTCCGGTCATACGCCACCCAACCTTCTCACACGAACCAGCATTCCGGACTGGGTAATAGACTCACCGCTTGTCATCGAGCCCTATCCTTAACTCTCACTCCCTGCAAGGTTGGTATCAGCTCATCCATTTTCAAGGGCCAAAGCGCCTGTAATTACCTCCATCACATCGAGTCACATGCACTGAGTTTTCATGCACTGGGTGACTAATCCTTACTTGCATGCTATCACCCCACACTGAACACACATGCACAAGAAATGCATAATAGACATGTCAACGAGCTTTCCTCCTTTGTTTCCCACCGCCACTAGAACTTGAGCCCGGGCTAGGAGAAGGCCGCGGATTCAGTACTTGTGTCAGTTGGACATTAATGGCCTCCCAGTCCGACGAGCGGTCTTTCTCCGGAATAGCCTGTAACACACATCGCGCATTCCTGCCTGCTGGTCGTAAATGCTTCCTGCACCAGTCGCACTGCTCCCCGTTCACCCGCTGCTCGGCATCTGCCTTGTTCGCTATCAACTCCTCAACTGCCCGGAGATTTTGCTTGTGGACTGCATAATGCAACGGTGGCAGACCCGTGGTCGCATGAGGCTTGTTCTTGTCAGCCCCCCTAGCAATGAGCTTGGTGAGTAGTCCATCGTGCCATGTATCTACAGCTTGGTGCAACGGTAGGTTTCCCTGGTGATCAAGGATATTCAGGTCGGTCTGTGGAAGCCCACAAAAGAAGTTGACTAACTCCCGGCGGGATCTATGGTGGGATAGGTTGAGTGCTTCATGCAATGGAGGGCAGAATCCCGACTCCGATGGCGGGTTTTCATTGACAAATTCGGGGCAGTGGTCACAGAGCAGCCTCACGAGTGCAACTTTACCTTCTCTTGTCGCTTTTGGCAGGACAGGAAACCCGAAGGTGACGGCCGATGGCTGCCCGGGCTTATGCTGGCGAAGAAGGTCGCGCAGCATCCCGCGCGATAACTCCTCCGACGGCGACAATTCCATGATGAAGTCAGCGAGAGACTTGCCATCACTGACCCTCCACTTTGGGTCCGCACCATGTGCTACCAGGAGCTGCAGGATAGGGAGATTGCCAGATTTGACGGCGTACTGGAGCGGCGTCTCTTTGTTCGTGTCTTCGATGTTCATCGCGGGCGCTTTGTGGAGTAAAGCTTGGATGATTTCCATATTAGCTAGCTCCACTGCATAGTGAAGCGGTGTCTTGCCATTCTTGTCTCGGAAATCTGGGTCTGCCTCTCGCTCAAGCAGAAGAGGAACAAGAGTTGAGCAATCCTTCTCAATCGCACGATGGAGCGCAGTCCTCCCTTTATGGTCCGGGGCATTTGGAAAAGCACCTTGGTCGAGAAAAAGCTTTACAAGTTCGGGGCTCCTGGTGCGAATGGCGTGGTGTAGTGGGGTTTCCTGCTTGTGGTTGCCAATTTTGACGAGGGTATTCATTCGCTGCAGGAGAATCGTCGACAACCCAACCAGTCCTTTGCTTGCAGCTAGATGCAACACAGTGTTACCATTCTGATCTGTTACACCAATCTGGACGTGGCTCTCTAAGACGAGATCGATGATCTCCGAGCGACCGCTCTGTATGGCAACATGCAGCAAAGACTCGCCTGCGTCGTTGTGATCGCCCGTGCCTGCTCCTCGATCGATCAGAAGTCGACACGCATTTTGATGCCCCGATCGTACAGCTCTCATCAGTGGTGTAAAGCCGTTGATCCCTTTGTACGTGCTCTGGGCGTTGATATCGGCCTTGTTATCTAGCAGTAATGCGATGGTGGAGGTCTGCCCGGCTCCCGCCGCCGACATGAGCGCCGTGCTGCCGGACCCGCTTCGCTTCTCCACTGTGGCACCACGCTCAATGAGCATTTGCACAATTTCATCGTGTCCCAGTTTGGCAGCTAGGCATAGAGGTAGATCCTTGTTGCACGGTTGGTCCACTCCGATTCCCAGATCGAGTAGCAGGCTGACCCCATTGACGCTGTTGGAAAGGATCGCGTGGGCCAGGAATTTCGATCGCTCTTGTGGGCTTTGACTGTCACAGATCCAAATCGACTTGAGAATTGCGTAGATGCGACTCCGCTCGCGATCGCCGGCTTGTTGTGCTGCATTTGCGGTGAGGTCCAGGGTGGTCTGGCGTGGCTGGAACTGTGGCAAGGGGATCGGCGGATCGTCTGGGTCATCTCCATCCCTGATACTGCTGGGAGGAGTAACATAGGTGGATGGAGGGTTCTCAGAGCGCACTTCACTTTCTTCATGGCTTTGGTAGACCTCACGCCAGTGGGAGGCTTCGAACTCGACTTGGTCTTGTAAGAGCTGTTGAATGATGGTGTTTTGGTTATTGATATCGGTCGCGAGTGGTTGTTCCTCGAACGGCGGGAGAAGACTGAATGATGCGGCTGGGTCAGACGAAGATTGGGGACGATCATCACGAGGTCATGCTTACCTGTTGGAGTTGAAGAGCCGAAGCACTTCGCGGAGAAGTCCCATGTATTGCTGCAATGCCACCAGGGCCTGAGGCCAGCGACCGGCGACATAACCTCGCGCACCGTAGCTGGAGCCATAAAGTCGCAGCTGCCGCTCCACTAGGTTGATGATGTAGCCGTATACTCGCAGAAGCGATGCAAGGTATGCAGCTGCAGGCGATATATGTGTCCGTGGCCGAACTATGCGTCGAAGGAACAATCGAAGCTGCTCATCGACTTCCCCAAGTGTAGCCAAAGTTTCATCTTGCGACGGATTAAGATATGGTTCAAACTGGACTTGAGAAACTAGGACAGTGACTCGCACATCGTCGAGTAACAAGGACTGGGTCAACGAGAGGAGGTCATCTTCTACGGCGACCTGCATGTTCGCAAGTACGTTAAAAATGAGCAAGGAAAGAGCGGCTCGAGCGGCAATTCAAGCCACCAACAGTGAGTGAATAAAGAAGGGTGGGTGTAAGGTTTAAAGGATCTGAGCCTAGGGACAGGAGAGAAGATGAGATAGATCTTACAGAGATGGGGAGGATTGACAATAATAGGGACCCATTATAACTGACAATGTAGCCCGATGAGGCATACAAGGCGTTGTTGCAGCTCCCTCCGCCTCACTGCCGGTGTTTAGTCATCGAGATATGCTGGGCAACAACCAGGCGCGGTGACTCAACCATTGTGGGCAGAGTGATTCTACAGACACTCGATGATTGGGAGTTTGGCTCTCTCTCTGTATGGGCAGCAGTAGCAGCCCTTCTGTGTCTTTAGCCATGGGATGCCTACCAAGTGGCCGGCGACAGCTGTCACAGCGATCATTGGCCGTCTCGCTGCAGTAAACACCGTCAAGAGCTGACACTTAGCAATCCCTTGATGCGAGAATTGCCCAATTAACCAATACCGTAAGTCTTCATGCTGACTTGGGGGTGAATTGCCCCTCATGCTTGATTTGCTGCAGGGTTGATCCCGACCCCGCACCACTCACTACGTCATCGGCGCAGCTGTCAGCTCAGCCTGCCTAGCAATAAGAAGAAATCAGCCTTTCTACCCATTCACAATGTGGTATTAATAGAACATATCGAAATGCAATTTGTTTGAGTGTGATTCTCCGAAGATTGAGAGTCTCGAGCTACCGGCGATGACACTAGTTGGGGCAGGATCATTGTAGAGCTGAGTACAAGATATAAAGCCTGAACGATGGCATTCGGTCCCCATCTGGCCTCCCACTGCGCTTGCCCTACTCGCTTTCGTTGATAGAACCATGACACAAGGGAAGGGCAATGTAGAACAATGTCTTGGATCTTTTGGTGGTTGTTATGCTGAGCGGACTACATACTACGTAAGTTCCCTGCGTGAATCGCCTCGGATCACGTGGCTGGAATCAAGGAACGCCGACAGCTTTCAAGCTGGCACCGGCAGACTTGACTCAATCACTCCAGGAGTACAATATCCGAGGGGAACTAAATCTAATACTAGGGTTTTCATCAGGAATTTGATACATAGTGATGGAAAGAAAGGAGCTGGGGATCTTCCTTCTGCGCCATGGAGTGGAATTCCGTCGGTGCCTGAGGCACTAGGGGGCGGTCACCTGACAGACGCCTGTCAACATGCATCAGAATATTGAGAAGTCATTAAATTTCAGCTTTCCTAAACCCAGACTCTGTCTAGAAAGTATGGAATGTCACATATCGCAATTGATCTTCATTTCTAACACCTGAAGAAGTCCTGTCTGCCTTGGCATAATATAATGATCGCTCTCGAGGGCTGTACAGGATAGTGCTACATTTATTGCTCCAGGCCTCTAGCCCAGGTAAATTTATCCCGCTCTCACCGTCCTTGTTCAAAAAGCTTCCTCACACTCCTCACTCGACCTAAGACCGACCAAATTCACATCAGCAGATCCCGATGTGAACTACGACCTTCAGGGTCCAGCCCTCAGCCTAAGCCCCCAACTCCGCGATCCGACTACTGTAATGCCGCTACATCAACTAGAGTTAGCCAAACTCGCAAATCCCGTGTCCAGAACGTAGAAAACGAATGTACTCACGCTCTCATCCCCGGCCCCAATGACCGGTAGCTTAGTCCACCTGTTCGCCCAGGAGATCGGCACCCGTTCCGTCACCAAGCGCGCCTCGTCGGCAGGCACCCGCTCGTTAAGAATAACCTCTACGGGAAGAGTCGGATGCAACACCGCAGGTCGACCGAGTCCGATCATGTCACAATCCCCGTTCTGCAAGGGGTCGATCATCCCTTGGCGAGTCCGGAAGCCCCCTGTCACCATCAGAGGCACTTCTGGGAACGAGCTCCGAATCGCGCTAGCAAAATCCAAGAAAAACGCCTCCCGCGCTTGAGTCCGAGCCGAGGGTCGGTGTCCTTGGATGGTCTCACTCGTCATCATCTATATAACATGTTAGGCACTGTACTACAATGCACCTCCTCCCTCATTTCTTCATCGTATATCGAGGATAGGGGGTATCAACAACTCACAGTGGGCTTCTCATACGACCCTCCGCTAATCTCCACGAAGTCCACCCCAGCCGCAACAATCAGCCGCAGCTGCTCAACGCACTCCTCCAGTGCCTCCGCGGACTGATGATCCACCGAGTTGAGTTTGATCCCGACGCAGAACCGGGGCGGAGTCGCCGCGCGAACGGCGCGGATGATCTCAACGACCAACTGGGCCCGCCGCCCGGCGGACCCGCCATAAGCGTCGGTGCGGTGATTCGTGGGCGCCGACAGAAACTGCGCCAGGAGGTAGCCGTGCGCCGCGTGGATCTCCACCCCCTGGAATCCCGCCTCCGCCGCCAACCGCGCCGCGTCCACGAACTGCTGCACCACCGTCTGGATATCGACCTCGGTCATGGCGCGGGGTACCCCGAAAACCAGTCGGCTGATTGTATGGGCCATGAGGCCAGGGCCGAAGTTTAGCGGGACGGCGCTGGGGGCTAGATTCCGCGCGCAGAGGCTGCGACTGCCTGCGCCCATGGGGGACTGCCGGCCTGGGTGGTTGAGTTGCACGATCGCTGGGCTGTTGCCGGGTGTGGTGCAGGCGCTGGCCCAGGCGCGCCAGCGGGCGAGCTGCTTATGTGTGCTCGTGGTGGGTTTCAAGGTCACGTCGCCTGCGCCGTTGAGGTATCGGTGGTCGACTTGGACGTTGCCTGTCGCGCTCATATAGGAATCATATTAGCTGAATGCGTGTGTGTGTCGTGATGCCGCAGCGACAATAGACAAAGCAGCGCCAAGACCGCCTGCTACTGCTCATTGCTAAAGTAATACTGACCCGTCAAGATCAATCCCCACCCTCCGCCTCCCCATTCCTCATATGCTCGCTCGAGCGTCTGCGTGGGAAGCCCATCCCCGTCGGCGAGTTTCTCAGCCATCGCCGCTTTCACGAGTCGATTAGGGAGTTGTAACCCGCATGGTAGGGTCAACGGCTGTGCAAGTGGAGAGCCCATCATTCTTTGGTTAGCTTGTGGGATGTGGTGGTGGTGTTCAATTTGTTGTTCTTGGTATTTGGGTGGCGTTTGTGAAGGGACCCTCCTGCCGTGTACTTATACACAATCCCTTATTTAATTCTTCCAAGATCATACACTCGCCAATCATTCTCTCAACGTCCATTCAGTTCCCATTGAGCCAAAACCGAGGAAATAGTCATTGGTAAGCCAGCCACCAGATATTTGTAAGTTCAATCCCCGTGAACCTCGAACCTCACCGGAAGTCGGTTGCCAAGCGTCTCGGGTCTCGGCTTTCGTGACTGACAAGGCCCTTCGGGTGTCGGGACTGGGACCTCCCACGGCCACCACGCCACCTTTCCCCCTTTTACTAGCAGTTTTAGTTTTTTTTCTTTTTTCTTTTTTCCCTTCCATTTCAGGTCCGTTGCTTGTCTACAGGTTTGAATTCCAGACCGCAATGGCCGCGGATATGGCGAGCATGTACCAGACCTGGATCACAGGACTGACCCACTAGGGCTTCTGCTGGTGGCTTGATCCACGTGGTGCTCGGCACGTGACGCGGGTACAGTACAACTTTCGCCGATGATGTAGGTTATGTTCCATGTTAGGAGGGCCTTTCGTTCATTTGCGTGTCCCTGGGACTCTAGAAATATCAGTGGATCCTATTGCTGGCTATACCGTGTCACTTGAGACGATTCTCGGTAGGAGAACGCAGTCGATGGGGAGGAGTATCAACCTTTTTCGAAAAGGTTTGTTCTCATAATAGAACTGACTAGATAGATAGAATAGAGACAGAGAAGAGGAATGAGTGGCACTTATAAAATTTATCTATGACTAACATTCATAGTACGATTGAAGTCTAAGTTTAGAAACGATTCAAGAGATATATAACTGATGCACCTCCAATCTGAAATTTGATATAACAGGTGTTTGTGAAGTGCCTTCATGGGATGAGAAAATGGAATTAAAACTCTGGGCAGTGTTTGGTATATTCCCGAGCAGTGCACACTGCACAAGGAACCGGGGCGGTAATGATGGACCAACCACAGACACAAGAAACCGGTGGAATCCGGTGACGAAAAGAAAGAAGAAATGATTATAAATGGAATGGAAGGGAAGTTTGATAGAATTGAATGAGATGTCCTCTTCTAATTCTGTATGGCAGAGCCATTTACAGGCCAAGTCCCTGCGCACTGTGTTCCAAGTCGGGGGTGTGCCGAGCGAAGAATCAGACCTTTCTCTTCCAGGAGCGCACCCGGAAGACGTAATACACCGCGAGCGCGAAGAACACGTTGAATGCGATGTACGCCCACAGCAGGCCAAAGTTGCGCCACCGCTGGCTGTAGTATATCTCGCGGCCCTCGAGGTACTGATCCGCAGCTTGCAGGGGACAGTACTGGCATTGTTCGGTGCTGGTGGGGTTCAGGAGTGTGCCCGCGGCATCTCCTGCCGCCTGAAGATACGCCTCCATATATTCCCCACACGTAGCGTAAGTGGGCGGGACGTCGAAGATGCTCAGTTCCTTGTCGGCGCAGTGCACCGGACGGCCGCTGACGCCGGTGGCGATGATCGCGTTGACCAGGTAGGTCATCGGGGAGACGCGGTACATGAAGGTCCAGAAGCCCGGCAGGGCGACGGGCGGGACGAGCACTCCGTTGAACACCAGGGTCATGTTGAAGAGCATCGTGGCGATCAGGCCCGCGGTCTCGGCGTCCGGGAGCACGGCCACCACCGCGTGCGCGAAGGTCGACCCGTACACGAAGAACTGCACGATCAGGAGCAGGAGTACCCCTTGGCGCTGCGAGTCCACAATCCCATAAACCGAGTAGATGAAGCTAGCGTACACGAGGATGGCGACTATTATCTGACATGGGACTTCAGCCAGTAGATTAGCGCCTAGGAATGCGGCCCAGTGGTAGGTTTTGGA